TTAGATATAACTTCTAATTTTAATCTAACTACTAATCTAATCCTCAAATGATTATGATTAGCATTAGATTAGAGATTAGATGGTACTACATTATAAAAATAATTGTAAAAGATAAATAACAATAATAATGAAATGAGTGTAAAAGTTATCAAAGTGTATCAGTATCAACTAAAAAAATATTTTGTTCACTAACTAGAGTTTTTTGTTTATTAATAATTTATTATATTTTATTATATTTATTTTTATTAGATTGTTAGTAATACAATAAAATAAATAAAATAAACCAATACTATAATTAATATATTATATATAGTTTATTTTAAAAATAACAAATTGTAATATGAATATAACAATTTAACTTGACAAATTTTAATAATTTATTAAAATAAGATAATAAGACACTAATATTAATAAAAACTAAACTAAATACATACACAAATAAAATAGAAAATACAAAGCACATCATATCACAACATCATGCTAAAACTAACTAAACTAATTTACTAATCTAATACTAATCACTAACTAATGCTAACTAATTTCCGATTTGAGAATTTTATGCAACAAAAACTGAATTATAAAATAAAACATTTATTTAAATTTAAAAGAATCTTACCATTGTTTCCACTTATTAACTCCACTGATCCCCCAAAACACCTAAAAAAATGAAGATCAAACAAGTAGGCAAATGAAGAAGACTTTGAAATATGAAGAAGAATGCGTGTTACACTTCCACTAACACAGACAGACAGATAGATAGAGACACACACAAACAAGAAGACATCAGGCAAGGTAGGCAAGTGGTGTGTGAGTGTAATTATTGAAAGTAGGAAATCCTGTTCAGCTGAACCTGAAAGGTGTTTCGTTTAATAAGGACCATGCAACTGAGGCGCTGTATTTATTTTCATATTTTAAAATATATAATTTATTTTCATCTAATATTTTCAACTCTACTACGGTTTATTATTTATTTTCTTCTATTATTATCATTATTTTAACATTAATATTATTTCTCTCATTATTTTTTTTCTTCTTCCTGTTATTTTTATTTATTTTCATTTTATTTTTTTTATTATTATTTTATTATTATTTATTTTATTAATATTTTTTCTTCTTATTTAAAAATTAATTGTAGAATTATAGATATTAGATGTGTTTTGAGATTATTACACATTTGGATTGATTTAGTTTAGTAAGTTTTAGTAAGATTTAATATTAGTAAATTAATTTTATACTGTGGGATGCAAGACTGGAAATGAAATCCTGTACATAATATTATGAATATTAAATCTATACAATGGCTTTTCTGCCTATATTTGTCAAGATTAGGCTACGAAATTCTAGACGCAAGAGTACCTATAGTAAATCTTATATTGTACTCTAAACTAAACCAAACACATATTGCCCTAAATTCGTTTTTTTTCTTGATAATCTCGTTAGCATCTATTCACAAATTTCAAATCACCAATACCAATAATAAAATAACTGTTAATCATGAAATATGATTATTTGTGCATCACCACACATGCAGTCGCTTCAAATGCGACAGAAGTTTGCCCTTTTGAATGGAACAAAAAGCCGCCAACCAAAATCAGTTTTAAAAATTTACTCGACCATATCAATTATATTCAAATTAGCTATCTTATGACACAAAATTCTTTAAACATAAAATCTAAAACTATAAATTAAATAATACTTGTCATGTCATTTTCTGGTCACTTCTTAAAAAGTTTTCACATAAAATCGTTTAGACCATTTATAATATAACGTTTTCATGCCAACGAAATTCTTAATGAATTTGCATATAGCATTTTATAATTTCATATTGCCAAATGCATTTCTTAATTTTCAATCATTTGAACACTTTTGAAGGATTAGAAAAAGTTAATTTTGATAAAACTTCATCAAAACGTTTCATTCGAATGTTAAAGCACATAATCTTTATCAATCAAACAATTTGGTATTACATGCAGTCATACACATGTTTATTGTATATACAAAAAAAATCAAAAACCAATATTCCTTTGCATTGCACACGTGTTTTAATTATTTCTAAAACCTGTAGCTTCATAGTTTGTGTTACAAAATTGAAACCAGACAAATTTTCAATCGTCGCATCGAATAACTGATTATTAATCAATTGTTGGAATTGTTGTAACGAATAGAACTATAGGACATGGAAACGAATGGATGACTAATATGTTAAATCCTTATAATCGATATGACCAGAATCTCCGAACAATGACATAGAGACGATGCCGTCATGTTGAATGTGCAGGCGAGTTATGGAAGCGTGTGCTACAAACATCCTCATCCAAGTATTCGTTGGTAGCTGCAGAGATCTGGCGGATTGCAAAATCGATTAGTGATGTTTATTGCTTTTAACAGAATTCAATTAAATTAAATTTTTTACAGCTTAAATGCATGAAAAATTACTTTGTTTAATTGAAAATACTTCTAACCTCAACACAAAGAACCGGATAATGTTACCATGTGCAATTATGACTTCGTTTGTTATTTTGTTCGTTTGACCGTCGTTGTCGTCAGGCCGGAAAAAATATCTTCTAAAAGCAGATTCAAGTCGTGGCCCGTCAACATGGTAATCCTTTTTGTTGGAAGTTAGAAATTTTTATAAGAAAGATAATAAAATATTCAAGTGAACTAATGTAAAGGCGCACCCTTTCAGGCAGACTCCAGTAACTAATAGTTGGATTAGGAGGTGTCGGTCCTCCTTCTTCTAGCATGGAATCAGCTATTAAAGGGAATGGAAGCCTCAAATTTTTGTGAATGATCGAGGCTGTTTCTGTTGCTCTCGTTAAAGTTGAATGATAAACAGGGCCCACAGAGATGTTCATCTGTTTCAAACGATAGGCTGCATGGGAGGCTTGTTTTTTACCTGAAATTACATTAAGTTGTGTTAAATATTTAGTCTAATGAAACGAACGTTGACAACCTAATAAAATTTGTTCAGAGTACATTGCGCATTGAAACATTAGTTTTTTTTAGAAACATTAATTTTTAAATTAGTTTTTTGTGTTTAATGGATGTTTTTCAAACACGAATTTACCAAAACGTTAAAATTTTGACAATTTTTTTGATTACAAGCACAAATTTACAAATTTTAGATAATCTTGATTGAAAGTTAGAGCTTGAAATAGAATAACTATTTTGAACGTACAACATCACTTAAAATATAAAAAACGTGACCTTTCGTAGAAAATAAATAGATATAACATTCAACATTAATTCGTTTCAGGTTACAACGCATAGCAATACTACCGTACCAGCTGCTTAGGCAAGGGGAGAATTTTGGAACTGAAGCCGCCTCCTCAGTAAAAATTTTGCTACGGTTGAAGTTAAAAGGAAAAAAACCCCCAATAACTGTTGCAAATTAAATTAAATTTTGAAGTTTGTATAAAACCGCTTATTTTTATTGCGAAATTTGTTAACAAATAAGTGATATGGTGAAAAGAGAAAGGTCGCCAAGAGCTTTCAAACAAATTTAATCTTCTGCCCAAAGCAAATTTCTAGCCACGCTACTGTACATTGCTATACGTATACTAAATATTATATTCTTTAAAATAAATTAAAATTTAACGAAGAATAACTATTGAAATCGAAATCATTAACTAAAATATTTGTACACAAAAATTTTAGGTGTAGCTAGTTTTGAGGCGAGATTTGTACAATTTAGCCACTTATAATTAAATATATTAATGTTAACGAAGAACACAAAATAGCCACTAGTTGGTAACAACAGAAGTTCCACTCATAAAACTTTGCCAATAACAAACGCTGAAGTGAAGAGCAAATATGACAACCTCGGTCTGTTAACTTTCCAGTGTTAAAGTCGTACTCCCCGTGCCTGATCAGTAAGATGTTTCGCGCTTTCATCAGTTTCGAAGGAGCTGACATCTTTCTGTTTATTTTTATATATTTTACTTTATTAATTATCGATACTTAACCAAATCTACTTTAACCAAATCAAATCAATATAGGTATGGCGGTATATGGTAGCAAGTAATGCATCGCTGAGTAGATAATATCTATTAAGTAATATATTGAAATATTATCTCTATCACCAAAAGCCAATGACATATAAACAATTTTCTAAAGCAAGAAGCATTTCAAAATAAATTAATATCTCTCCTATTTCCTATTTCTCTAAGCTCCTAAACTTTAACATATCTTCGTTTCAAACAATTACTTTTATGATGAATAACTGCTAACGTTGTTGAATGTACAAGTATACATTTATTAACTGTTAATATAATATAAGAAGCTATCGTGCATGCATATTCGTCAAAATGCTCAAAATAAATTTGACATCTCGTAATTTTTATTTTACTTAAACCAAATTTTCATGAGCTGTAACAGAAATAAAATTAACTATAAAAGCATTGTAGCAGAAATACCAACAAATCCCAATTGTAGTTCCATTCATAAGAACAATTCAAACGATCGTTTGTCTTTTTCGGTGCTAAATCATCTTTTGATTCATCGGGATGATTGGCTGCCGAGGCCGACACATGAGGATAATCATCATTGAAAGTTTCCACACTTGCCATTTTGTATGAGTTTTGCCTGTATTTGCTGCAGATAACACTGGCGTAGATTTCGATGTACCACGAGATGGTTATCATCGTCAGAATTGTTAGTATGAATAAAAAGATTATAATCCGATACCCCGACCTCAATCCCAGCTTCATAGTTGCAATTTTAAAGTTCTACATGTGATTCAAGTAATGTTTATAAAAGTTCGTAGCTGAACGTCATCATTGTACCAATAATCAACAAATGAAATGTGAAAACTTCAATATACACTATATACAGATAGCGAAACAGTCGAACAATGGAAAGTAACGCAGCGTCGTATTAATTTATATTGTCACAGTGATTAATGCTTATTCTTTGGTAAGACTGATATTTTAAACAAATTTTTACTTAATTATTAAAGTCTGTAATGGTTTTTTTCGTAATTGTAAATTTTCATTTTTTCCTTTGTCTTTATCTTTTCATCTTTTGTAAACGCACTGGTATATATATAATATATATATATATATATATATATATATATATATATTATATGTATATGTGTGTGTGTGGGTGGCGTGTGTGTGTAAAAAAATTTATATACATGTGCGCTCGCGTTCGTGTGTCTGCGTTCGTAGGGTGTGGTCATTAATACGGCATTTGTACTTTTATAAGTATGCGTCACAGTAAGAGCAAAGTAAAAATAGTACTGCTAAAATGTATTTTTGATCAAAATGAGACTGCTTATAATATAAACGGTACTATATTAAACTTGCTACCGTCAACCATTGTTTATTTTTAGGATGCGATTCTAACGGGCAGTAGTTTTGAAGTTATAGTATGTCTCGTATATCTGATATACTCTCTCGACAATTTTGAGAAGTTATGAGAAAATAACCTAATTTTTCCATCACTCATTTTTCCATTTATACGCCGTACAATTGAAACAACATTCATTGAGTTCTCTGCTCATTCTCCTTTGTTAAAAGCCTTCTGCTTCAGGTTCATGCGTTAGCATCTTCCTATGTCTTCTTTTTCTTATTGTATACATGTATATCATATACTTCAAATACTTAGAATATGGATATAGTAGCAATCAACAACATGATACTATATCTATATGCATGAACATCCAAAGACTTAAAGAGCTAATTGCACGTGTATATTAATATTAATTTCTTTGCACGTGCAATTTCATTCATTGTGGTTGCTAGGCAACGCAAGGTGCTGTAAACAAAATGAACAGAATTCTGTATGCCTGATCAAATATGAAAATAAAAAAAAATTGTTGTCTGATTCGCTCTTCAGATTTAAATTCTTATAAAAAATATTTTATTATTTATTTTTTGCAATCTTATTAATCGATAAATATAAAATAACATTAAAATCAATGATTCAATTCGAATCTGAATATGAATGACAATGAATAGTTATAAAATAAATATAAAATATATATTATATAACTATAAATGTGAATAGTTATAAAATATAACTATAAATAACTTATAAGTTTCTTTTTACAAAATTATATCGAAGTTAAACAGTTTTGATTTTTATATCATAATCAAAAATATTAATTTATTTTTAAACGGTTGAATTTTTGGCTATTTAAAAATAATTTTTTAAATTAAAATAATAAAATGACCTCAAACAAAAATAATAAAAGTTTTCTAAAACTCCCAGAGCCATCGGCTGTCATAAACGAAACTATCAGATGCATTCATACTTTTCCTCAGGTCTGCTTGGAAACATTTTTAAAGACATTTTCAAACTATGGTGAATGTAGCATTTTCATAATACAGTTAAGGTTTATTCTCTAAATGTCAATTATTTTAATTTACCTTTCCAACAACAAACAGCCCTATTTGATGAATGCCACTCCATACAACAGTTACGACTTCAGTCCTCAAATTACGGCCAATGGTACACAAATGCCAAGGTCAGTTTTTTTTTAAAATAGGGGCACAACTTTTTGAATATTCCAGTATGAAATAACAATTTTTTTCGCTAAATTTAAGCATTCAAATCGTCAAAGCTGTCGTTGTCGGAGATCAAGCAGTTGGCAAATCATCACTTCTGCAGAGGTAGGTAATAAAAATAAAACCGCAACTGAAAATTTTGATTGAAACTCTGCCATTTATGTAATTTATCTAAGAAGAATTTAAAATTTTAAGATTCTGTTACAACACGTTCAAATCTGATTATAAGTGCACCATTGGAGTTGATTTTGAAATTGAACAGTTCCAAATTCTTAACAAGCTTCTAAAAGTTCAGTTGTTAGTAAAAATTTAAAAACAACTCAGATTATAAATTTCTAATTTTCAGTTAGAGAAAAAATTATTCATAAAAAATGAATAAATATAAAATTATTGAAATTATAAAACTCACGTTAAACGGTTAAACAAAGAGTTTTCTTCATTTTTGTTGAGTTAAATTATAGAGAAATAAATTGAAACGAATTAATTAGTTGGGACACGGCAGGCCAGGAGCGATTTAAATGCATCGCTGCATCGTATTACAGAGGATCCAAAGGTTAGGTTACATGCACAAAAATATTTTACAAAACAATTCAGTAATTTTTTGCGTTGGAACCAACTAAAACTAAATTAACCACTTTGCATTCAACATATATACAATTTTTCTTATAATATTTCTTTGATTTATATCAACAGTTCATTACTTATCATAACCAACGACTTCAATATATTCCAATTGTTGAAACATTAAATTAACAAACAGCTGTAATAGTGGTATTCGATATGAGTTCGATTCAAAGTCTCATGAACGCCAAACAATGGGCTTCTGAAGCCTGTCTGCATGCATCCTCTTGCTTATCAGAAAACTTCATCTTTCAAAAATCTGCAAACATAAATGGTAAGAGCATGAAAACGTGTTCAACATCAAATTATTCTGTCAATCCTACAAATAAAAAAAAGTTGACATCGAATGAAAGAAAAGATAACGAAGGACATGAACCATCCAGTAGTAATGGTGATGCAAGAAGATCTGAAGGACCTTTGTTATTTCTCGTTGGCACTAAGAGGGATTTGGTTGTTAGTTCATTCAAAAATCAAATTTTATTTGCAAACTCATTCAATAATTTGATATTATATTCAAAAATTGTTTCCTCTAACGTAATTTTGAATTGTTCATCAAGTCAGACAACACTTGGAAGGAAGTTGAAGCACTGGCGGTAACAGTTGCTAAGGAAATTCGTGCCGAACTTTGGATCGTTTCCTCACTGACAGGTTGTAAATTTTAATTAGTTGAACTCTATTATTATTATTACAATAGTATTTGTTGTTTTTAAACAAAGGTATAGAACAGTTTAATCAAAAATAAAAAAATTAATAATGACGAATTAGTTTGAATAAAACATAATATTAATACTAATATAAAATTGTATAATAAAAAATTGCCGACTGAAGGCGAAAGGGTTAACGACTTCTTTTTTCGTCTGGCTGCCATGTTATTGGAGAACTCTATGAAGAATGCATTGCTGGTCAAACAAGTCATCCATTCAGAGTTCGCCACCGACATGATAAGTCAGATTCGCAAATTTTCAAATCTATTCATCTTTTTATACGATTCTCAATGAATTTCTGACTCTGAATGCCATTAATTTACCTGTAATATTTGTTTAATTTATTAAATTAAATCTCTGAGATGTTTTCAGAACGGAATATCGATTCACAAATTAATGAAGCATCTTTGGAATTTATCATTTCATCAGCAGAAGTTGACGACGACCAGCCTGTGAAGGCGCAAACCAACTGCTGCAAATGATCTCAACACCGTACACTGATCATCATGTCAGACTTAATTAGGCAATATATCGTTGCATAAACTGCCACAGTTTATTAATGTACTGCATATTTCAATTTTATCCATTGCTTACGTTATTTTAAAAGTATGTTTCATATTTTTATAATTACAGATACTACAGTTTCATAGTATTTATTAAGATAATAGTTTTCATAATCAATTTTCTTACAATCATTGAAAACTTATCATGATATGTTTTTAGCTCCAATAATACAAAAGAAAAAACCAAACGAGTTTGTGAAATCGTATTTCAGCTTATAAATGTATATATGAAGATCGAAGAAAGTTTTACTGCTTGTGAGGAAATTAATAAAAAATATCATAGCCACCGGTTACTTGAACTTAGATATATTAGTATAAAACGTAAGCTTGTATTTTTGAAATTGTTGTGCGTGCTATGAGTTTGAATCGGAAATTTCAATTTAGGGTTTTCATCAGAAGGTTATAACACGAAAAATTTCCAAAACGTTATTAGTACTAACACATGTGAGAAAACTGTAAGAAATGAGTAAGAAGAAACTTGTATACAATAAATACGACTAATTTGTTTAAAAAAAACTTAAAATAAATAAAATATTTTTTGAACGAAGATGTTACCAGATAGATGTCAGTTCAGGGCAGTGGCGGAAAATCTTTGTGCCACCTAGAGGCACTCGTAATTTGCCGCCTAAATTTTATAATAATTTAAGAAAACTGTATACAAATAAAAGCAATATTTGTAATATATTTGATCAGGTACATTTTTCAATAATATTTATGCAATGTCATATTAGTAAAAAAATCCATTTGCATTAAACAGCCTATAAAAAAGTTCAAAACTTTACGACGTGTTTTTACGCGTACAAACTCATCAATTAGGTGGTCCAATCTCTGCAAAACTGTTTTTTCAACACACTGGATTGGAAGGAAGTTCAGCCTTTCTCACGACATTGTTGAACGCAAATAATTTTTATCGCGCATTAAACATTAAGGTTTGTACCGAACAGTTTGTCGCAGGAGTACAAGTGTACATCCGTCTTCATTGTATACAGAGTCTATATATGCACTGCAACTCATTCACTCTTATCCATTTTTATAAATCAATTGAAATGTTTGAAACTAAATTTTGGCCTAAGGAAGCCAAATAAGACTTTAAATAGAACGGTTCTGAGTTTATTGTGTCGTTCTAGATCGATAGGAAATAAAAATCCAAACCATCCGCCGCAACCTCTACTTTATTGACAATGTTTTGAGTTGTACAATCGCTTTCAAATTTTTAATAATTTCTGCGAATGCGTTTCGTTTCTTGTTCATTTCAAAAATTAAATTATTCACAATTACTTGAAATGTGTTTACACGAAAGGTTCCCCGAGTGCTAAATTCTATCCCATTGTAGCTGTTGGTTCGTCGAAACGCCGTTTCCGTTTTCTTAATGGCAGCATCTTGCTGTCATCAACAAACGACAGGACTTTTCTTTTTTATGTCATTCCTTTTCTGAAAGATTCGAACAGTTTTAAAGATGAATTGTATGTTTCAATTACAGACAATAGACCAATGTCTACTTTTTGTAGTAGTGACTTGTGTGCTAGATTTGTTCTAAAACGAATTCTCATAGTTCTACCATAATTTCGGTTTCTAAAAAGCTCAAATTAGCAATAATTCCTAACACCAGTATCTGATTTCTGATTTGAATCTTTTTCCAAATATTGTACTGACTAACCTGACTCTATCTATAAGAGTAATTATGTTTAGTAGTGTACTGAAACAGGCAAAACGCAAATACATATATGTAATGTATATATGCTTGAATTATTTTTTCCATTTTTTGGATTTTACATGTCGTATGTGTTTGTGAAATTGATTCTTTATAATAATATTTGTGTAATATTAATGAGAAATACAGTGTTAATCCAGTTATTTAACGTTAAAGCACTAAGTTTCAAAAATTTTGCAAACTTGTTAGGCCATGAAATCGTGGCTGCCATCACTTTCATTTGACAACTTTATTATTATTTCACTTTTATTTTATTGTAATTCAGGCTTTTGTGGAGTCAGTTGGTTAATTAGGTTAAATGATTTTGCGTAAATTATGTGAATTATTTTATTAATATTTAATTATTTGAACGAAAATGAAATTCTTCATCAAATTCCGATTTTGTAAAATTTTCTGTATCTTGTTGGTGCTGTCTTTGAAAAAAGCAGTTAATGGTTTGTTTTGTTAAATTAAAATTTAAATTTTTCTAATTTAATTATTTAATTAAATTAATTTTTAATTTAATATTAAATCCCATAAATTTTTTAATTTCAATTAAGTTAATTATTAAAACTTTTAAATTTTCAAATAATTGTTTTTATTGAGATCCGTTGTATGATTATTGTTAAGAAGGTTATCTTTGTTTATTTGCTAACCACTTTAAAATGAGGTAACATAACCTGTCCTAATTTAAGTCTTAAATTAAATTATTGAACAACTAAAAAAATCTTAACTAAATTAATTTAAATAAAATGACATTTCCAGAAGCTAAAGTTTGAAATCACAACCTTGGTTATTTTCTCCCTCTCTTCTCTTCTGCCTCTCTATTTTTTAGTTTTATTTCTTGTACTCTAAGAAGGATGGATTCTATCACTATCACCAGCTATTCCTGCTATCTATCTATCTCACTAATTATCTGCTTATTGCTATCTAAAAGTTATATCAAGTATCTAATCTAATTCATCTTATTCTTATCCTTATGACATGACCCGCTTTTCCAAGACTTCACTAAATAAAATTTATAAAATTTTAAAATAAACATTTGATTATATTTTATATTAGTGTGCTGTTATTATTTTATTTTCATTTTAAGTAAATTGAAACGTTATTATAGATAAGTTTTATTAGCATTTATAAAATTTTTAAATAATTAACTCTATGACACTATTTTGTTTATCATTATGAAATTAACAAAAACATGATTATGAAAATATATAATATATTATAACATATAATATTTAAAACTTAAAATGAAAATAGAAAATAAATTTTTAGATGTTATTAGTTTCAAATGTAATCTTATTCTTACTCGTGAACATTTTGTTTTAAAGTTAACTTTTGGTTTTTTAATGATGATGAGACTCTCATTTTGCTCTTCAATGCATTGAAATAAACATGTACATAATAATGCTACTTTATGTTATATTATATCTTTTTCTGTTAGAGAAAAATCATTTTGTTTATTTATAAAAAAATCAATCTTAATTAGCTACCTGTTTTTTCCTTAATTACATCATTCTTGTCATTATTACTTTGAAGTTTACATTTTCTCATATCAACTGTAGCTGAGAATAGCTACTTAGTCAGTTGATTAATAATTTATTTTGATTTGATCAATGATTGTTTCATGTTTTACCAACAATTTATATGTGCTTGTTTTATTTATGTCCTTGTCCATACATCTGACTGAAAGCCCCCCTCCACCATTTAATTCTTTTTCTTTAGGTTGCAATTATAATGATTTACTGAGTGGCTTTCCTAATTAAAGGTTGAAGGTCATTCTCTCTTTTGTACTTGCTTTCCAGAGGTGTCAATGATAAAAGTATTGTTTGGAATATGTGGTTAATACACTTGCAACTGATGATTAACACAGTTGCTCAACCACTGAGCAATTGATTCTAAAAACATTTCATCTTTGAATTTTTTTAACCATTATCGGATAGTTGCAAAACATCACTTCCCATTTCATTTATTTATTTTTCAGAAAAATTTTCAACTTATGTCCAACATTTAATAAACTTTATTCACTCTTTGCAATTTGAAATCATGTTTAACAATTGTTTTCAAGTTAGGTCTGAGCTTTAATTTTATGCAACATAACCTCTTTCTTTAGCACAATTTGTAGCAGCAGTTTAGGAGCTGATGATGTTATTCATTTTTTTTTACTCCAATCATACTAAGATTTAAAAAATCCTTTTTCAAAATTCTATATAGTAATTAATGGGAAATAAGTTTAAATGATTAAGAACCTGAATCAAAGTTAATATCAGTTAATATTTATACACCTATTTATTCATAAAGTAATGATGAGTTTGGATAAATTTCTCCATCTATCTTGAAATAAATTTTAAAATTTTAAATGAACATCTGCAACACTTGTGTAGTTGTTTGTGAGGTTGAAAGTTTAGTCATTTGATATAACATGACATGGTCTGTTTGTTTTATCCCATTAACTTCACTTTCCCACAACAAACAGAAGTTGACACTTTTATAAAATTTATTTTCATAAAGATTCACTATCAATTATTGTTTATAACGCCTTAATTGTATTCTTTATTTTTTTTAATTTTTCATAGGAAACCTCATTGTGGAAACTCAAATATTAGATAGATACTCTTCGTACAACAAAACATTCGTACAACTATATGATAGTACGGGGAAGCATATTTTTTCTACCTATGATAATCAGGTGGCAAATTTGTTTTCCACTCCTTTTGAAACAATTATTTAAATTTTACATCAAATAAAATTTATTTTATTCACTCATATTTTTTACCTCAGACTCAATGTCACTTACGGCATATTTATGTTGAATTCGTCTTAGAAAATCACAAACTAACCTTAGATCTGCAGAAAAATGAGTTAGTTTACTCACTACATTTCTTTTTCCAACTTCTCAATAATACTATAATTGTATTTCTAACTTACATAGCTCATTATTAAATAGCTTAATGACTGAGGCATGTATATGTTTTACATTACTTCATATTTAAAGCTTGTGAGATGTAATATGATGTTTTTTTTTTATTTTTAAGATTGAAATCAACATACTCTTAATTTCATCCACTATATTATTTTCTTATAACTTTTAATTAATTTTAACTTTAAATAAGATATATCGCATAAATGTATCTTTTACCTTTTACTATTTATTTATTTGGGATTTTTTTCAAAATTCAAATTTCCTTTCAGAATTTTTAACAAAATTTACCTATAGAAACATTTCATTTTTAACATTAAAAATGTCCTACGATGCAGTTTCTTATTCACACCTGGTTACATGGAAAGGACTTCATCTTCCCTCCTGCCTAGCAATTATGTTAGTAGCATTTTCGTGTAGAAATAATTATTTCACTTAATCATGACAGCTTGAGCCAATGGTAATTACATTAGTGATAGGGGCAATTATAATACAGTATATGTACTATAATATATAATATAGTAGTAGACATATCTTTCTTTACCAAGAAGTTTAATCATTTAATTCTATAAACCATGACATAACTAGACTATCTTATTCCCTAATCTGTTTTTGCGTTTATAAATTTATTTAGATCCATCCATTCCATTTATTAGATTTCATTCACATGCATACATACATCTTTTTTGCATGTGTTGATTTATGAAATAAAACTTTGTTGGATTGAATTGAATCAAACATGCTTATGTGAATGTGTTATTTTTATAAAGATAATATGATTAAATGCTCTTTTCAATGAATGCTTCAGTTAAAAGTTGTAACCAGATCTACAAGTTGAGCCATTTTATTGCTAGATTATAACGTTTGTATAATAATTTTTAGGCATTTCTTTGATGTTTCTTGCAAATTTTATTGCTAACGTTTTTAAACTTTAATAGGGAAAATATAAAATTTGAATAAATAAAATAAATTATATATATAAAAATGAAGTTTTTTATTTTTACTATTATTTCTTTTTGCGTGTTAAAAAATCTAGCTACTAGCTATCTAGCAACTCTATGATGTTGGATGAAATTATGAATTAAGGCAAAAAAATGTTGTGTTCAAATTTAAAAAAAGTAAAAGATACAGAATAAAATACAATAAAATAAAATACAATAAATAAAATAGAAGAGCAAAATAAAATAAAATAAAGATAAATAAAATGCAATCTTGATAAATTTCAACTCATAGGATAATGACCAAACACCAATAATTCATTCTTAAATTTAATAAGAATATAATTATGTTTATGTGGTTGTAAACAAATATTTATCTGGTATTATATTAAATTGTAATAAGTTATATTCAATCAATCAATCTTCGTTTTGCCTCCAGTCCCGGTTGTTTTCTTTGCCATCAACTTTTTGCGCCAAATTAGACGATTAGTTGTATCCATTTCGTTTAAATTTAGAGCTTTCATGTCTTGCTTGATTGTTTGCGACCAGGACTTCTTTGGACGGCCTTTGGAACGTGTGCCAGGTGCTTCAATATCTGCAAGAGAAGTTATGGCATAATAAGTTATGTTGTAATAATTTATGTTGTAATATCATGTCCTAATGTCCTACCTCGGGAAACTTGGTCTCTGGACGCTAAACGAAAATTGATTGATTGATAATATCATATATAATAATTAGCCATTTAGTACTGTAGATTTGAAATATAACAACATATGTAACATACTTTGTATAACCGGTCTATTCATTGATATAAATTAATTTGATTTTAATTAATTGCAGTTATAATTAATTATTTGTAATCAACATAAGTACGTAATTTTTATCAGACTTCTAGGAATTGTTACTACATTGGTGCATTGTTAAATGATGATAGACAACTCATTCCCAATGTTCACGTTGCTGTAAGCACTTGTAAAGGACTGAGGTTAGTTTGTGTGTGTGTTTGTGTGTATATGTATGTGTGTGTGTGTGTTTGTGTGTGCCTGTATGTGTGTGTGTATTTTTATGATTTTGTTTATGTGTATAAATATTTTTTGTTTCCTGAGATGTAAAAATATAATTGTTTTGTTGCTTTTGTTATTTGTTTTGTGGCTCATTGTATTGATAGTAATGTAATGATGATATGTTATTGGTCTTGTTGGTCTTGCTTCTATTTTCAACATTGTCTTCTAGGTTATTTTTGAAAGACTGTTTCTGCTTTAAAAATCAAATCTCCATCAACTTTTAATTTTATTTATAGTTCCATTCAAACAGTTCCATTCAGATTTTTATTTATGATTCATCATCAATTAACATCATATAAACTTTTAAGTTGTTAAATTTACACAGTGTTGTGTCAGCTAGAGATAACAGAACATCCATTAGAACCACTTGTGAAAAATTAATGTTTTCTAGTGCTTAGTTTTTTTTTATAATTACTTTGTTAAAACTTGCATGCAGGGGTTGTGTGATGTTGGAAAATGATACAATCAACATTGAGCCTGCAACAGAAGATATCAACGATGTTCATTACTTTTTCAGAGATTCATCTAGACTTCGTAAAACTCACCATTTCAATCATTCTAAACTTGGTGGGTTGTGTGTGGTTGTTTGTGCGTGTGTGTGATGTGCGCGCGCGCTTGCTTGTGTGTGTGCGTGTGTGGTGTGTATGTGTGCGTGTGTGGTGTGTGTGTGTGTGCGTGTGTCTGTAGTTGATTGAAAACCTTTTTATTTAATTTTCAACAGTTAATTGATCTGTAATAAATTCCATTAATAAGCTTTCTCTTATTATTTACAAACCAGAAGATTAAATTGTAGATATTTTATTGAGTTGTTGAAAAAATGTTGAGATAATCTCTATGTCAAATAATTTTGTAGTGGTGGATGATGATGATGTGAGTGACGATCCACATGCCATGATGAAGAAGAAGAAATACAATCCACACAGAACACATGTAGGAAGTTTTTTTCATATTGAGTTTTTAACATTTTAAAAATAATAATTATTTAATTTTAATAATAATTTTAGTGGCATTAATTTTGTTGACAATAATTTTAATAAAATTATTAGCTCAAACTAACTTAACTAATAAGATGAAATGTCAACACTGAAAATGCAGAGATTAAAGAAGAGATCCAAGAATAGGCCTTATGATTCAAACAATGAAACTCTTATAGTTGAACTATACGTTGCAAATGACCAGGCACAAGTGGGTTTATTGACTTTAATTAGTTGATTGATTTGAATCGGTTGATTGACTTTAATTGGTTGATTGACTTTAATTGGTTGATTGACTTGAATTAGTTGATTGACTTTAATTGATATAATTTAGCCTAATATTATGAATCTATTTAAAATTTTCTTTAAAATTCAAATATGTATTTAATTAATAAAAAAATATATTGCACATGTTTCAAACTGTAGAATATTGAAGAATTGAATGATAATTATCTTAGCAAGTGAGTCTATGGAAGTTTGAAAATATTATTAGCTAATTGAAAATTAGTTGCTCCACTTGAGAAAGTAAATATAGCTGATCCCCAACTTCTCATTATCTACACTAAACAAATCAGCTCAAGTTAGAAAACGCAATGATTGCTAGAATATCATGTAATAGCTTATTGATACAATTAATTAATATTATTTCTAGTTGTGGAGCAAAGTGTGATTTGATGAACTCGAGTGTACCACGTTTTTACTTTATAAAATTCGTGTTTTTATTATACTGCACACTCACACATGTACACAGTTGTGTACAATTATTCATATAAGTGCACACACCTAAACAGTAACCAATAAAACATTAAGCAAAAGCATTAGAAATATTGAAATATTTCTTCCATCAGTTCATCAGGCAGGGATCAAATGTACAGGCCACCATTGATAGGACGAAAGATGCAGTCAACATCGTCAATTCAGTTAGACCGTCTGCCACAACTTTCTTTATTACAAATACCTAACATTTGTTAATTATATCCAACTTAAAGAGCAGACGTATGTACATGTACAATCAAGCAAATTAAACATGCAACAGATATACAGACAGTTGAATGTGTACATCGTGCTGATTGGTGTGGAGGTGTGGAACGACATCGACCGCATCCAAACAACAAACGACCCTCAGAATTTGTTGAACAATTTCCTCAAGTACAGGGAAGATTTTTTGAACTCCTGGACTCCCAATGACAATGCACAGTTGATAACGTTTGTATTCTGTCGTGAATGGGTTGGTTGTGCTTGGTTTGTTGGTTTCTATTTTTGTTCATTGAGGTCGGTCGTAATAATGTTTTTTAACTGAAGTTAATGTTTATCTGTATCTGGTACAATTGTTGATTTTTTAAAGATGTTTGAACTTATTTATAAATTGATTCAAACATTTGGTTTCCATTCATGTGGCTACATTATAAATGAACCAACCGATTAACCAATCAACCAACCAACCAATCGGTCATCTAAATAACCAACCAACCAATCGGTCATCTAAATAACCAACAAATTACTTAATCATCTAAATCATTAACCAACCAATCATCTAAATAACCAACCAATCATCTAAATAATTAACCAACCAATCAATCAATCAACTCACCAGGGGTCGTAACTTGGGCGATGGTATCCTGGGAAAGGCCCCTGTGATGACGATGTGCACGTGGAGCAAGTCGGGAGCCATCAATGTGGTTCGTGCTGTTTATTATGACTCATCATTCTTATTCACCTGCTTGCTTTTCATTGCAACTTTGATTTCAGACAATTTATAATAAAGTATTTGTTGTCGTTGAGATCTTTCACCATAAGAAGCAACCACACTTGACTATTCAGGACCACTCGTTGGATGTGGCTCGACTGGCCGCTACGATGGCACACGAGATCGGCCACAACTTTGGATTGGAGCACGACGACAGCGTCAAGGAGGTCACGTGTCCAGATGAGAAGTGTATTATGGGCCCACAGAGCAGGTCTGCTGTTGTTTGAGTGCTGCGGGCTGGTAATGTTTGTCGTGATGAGTAACATTATTTTGTCATAAAATGACGATAATTATGAGATAACCTAAAGTTACATCAGTGATAAACAACGTTACATTGTTAAATGTTAAAGCAACGTTACATTATGCATTGCGAGTAACTTTTCCTGATTTCATCCAATTACGTTATTTTTATAATGCTAATGAAAGATGAATACATTGTTTGGCGTAACGTGTTGCTTGCTTAACTGCCTGTGTTTGTAAACAGTATTATGAAATTTAAACGAACGTATCTATTATTTGATCCACGTAGTAGTATAAGTTTTTTGATTGAGGTTTTTAACGCTGGGAAGAAGGCTTTAAAAATATTTTAAAATGTAAGTTTTGCATTAGCGGGATTGTTTCTGATGTTTCGTAAGTGAGAAGGATTGAGCTGTGGTTTATTTTAAGCATGCTAAACAACTGGTTTTTTTTATTCAATATCACAAATTTATAAACCCTGAAAAAGATAAATATATCATTTTATAGTGAATTCATACCTGCTCGCTTCTCGTCGAACTCAAAGATGGTCTTCAAGGACCTGCTGGACGAGGGCATGCGGCACTGCCTTCAGAATTCGCCTCACAAAGTTTTTGGAGAAGGGAATGATTGTGGCAATGGATTCATAAATAAAGGAGAAGATTGCGATTGTGGTCTGCCAAAGGTCTGCTTCATATGAATTGCTTCTCTCTTCGTTATTCTTAGTTCATTAATGTGTTTTTTATATTTTTCATGTATGTATGCAAGAAAGTTGAGCTTATAAACCTTTCACTTCATTTCTATCCAATGTTACCATGAATTCCTATAAAACTCTTTTATCTCAGTTTATAGTTTTTTGTGCTTCTTTGCACAGCAGTTTTTTTATTCTTAGTAGGCCTGGTAGCGAATCTTCTTTTCGCATCCAAATTCAGATCTCTTCAAGCAAGCAATATATTTTTTCATATATGGTTTTTGAGGATAAGAGTATTTCAAGTGTTTCTGACCATTTCCGTCCAATATACAAATTATATACAAATTCTTTGCAAATTGATTATGTGTAAACAAAATAATTACATTACAAACAAAAAACCAAACAAACCAACAAATTAATGAACCAAAAAAGGACTGCACAAGCAAATGTTGTGACCCACGCACGTGCAAGTTCCTCAGCCGTGCCACTTGTGCCACAGGCTCCTGCTGTAACTTGGATACCTGTCAGGTAACTAACTACCAGCTGTAACTGCTGTGGTGATAAGCATGATGAAGATGAGGATGATGATTGATGATGAGATTGTTAATTTAATGTGATAGCCTATCCTTCGTTAAATGTGATTGCCACTGTGTGTATGAATGATGATAATTAATAATGTTGTGGCATTTTTGGATTACATTATGGTGATTACAAGAACAACGACAAGTTTGATGATGATGATGGTGGTGATAGTGATGATGATGATGATGGTGGTGGTGGTGGTGATAGTGATGATGGTGGTGATGATAGTGATGATGATGACGATATTAATTTGAAGATCAAACCGCCAATGACGGAATGCAGAGGAGTGCAGAGTGAATGTGATGTCGGTGAGTACTGCGATGGGGAGAGTGAGTTTTGTCCTTTTGACGTCTTCAAGCACAATGGACATCCGTGTACCTCGTTTCAGGTTTGTTTCCTCTTCAATTTTCACGGTGTTTCTACCTACCTCCTTCTCTTCTCTGACTACTCCTTCGTCACTTACGAAGTTTAGAGCGGATCTCAAGACCCATCAGTTTGTGAAATTCATTGAGGAGTGTTGTGGAAATAGCGTTGCAGAGTCTAATTGATTGATTGGTTGATTGATTGATTGATTGATTGATTGATTGATTGGTTGATTGATTGATTGATTGATTGATTGATTGATTGATTGATTGATTGATTGATTGATTGATTGATTGATTGATTGAGCAAATGGTCATATTAGAAAGTTAGAATAGCATTTATTATGGTCAGTAACATGGATACTTATGTTGCATGTAAAATGGTCATTGAAATTTATAATTCCAATTATTTTAACGTCTGACCCACTTGTTATTAACGTTTTTTATAGCGTCATTTATTATCTTAAAAGAGTTATTGCTTGCGGTGCCTGATAAAATTCCAAAAATGAAAAACCCCTCAGAAAGGGGCGTTCTGTTTCGACGGTCAGTGCCGGACGCACGATACCCAGTGCAAGAGGTTGTACGGCGTGACGGGCCAGCAGTCAGCCAGCATGTGCTACGAACAGTTCAACATCGACGGCTCGCTTAGAGGTTCTTCTCGTTTCTTCATTTTTGTTTCCATGACACCAGGGATGTGATGTTTGATGTCGCCTCTGTTTTGATGCTGTGATGATGTCTAATAAGAATGGTTCGTGAAGTGCATTAATTTCAGAATGGTTTGTGAGATACATTTGTTAAATACATTAATTACAAAATGGTTTGTAAGATATATTAATTACAGAATGGTTTGAAAAATACATTAATTACAGAATTGTTTGTAAATTACATTGATGTTGTTGTGGGTTGGTCAGCGTTAAAACTGACCAAAGAAGAAATTGTAGATGAGATGAGACAGTCTTGAGTGAGTGAGTGAGTGAGTGAGTGAGTGAGTGAGTGAGTGAGTAGTTTGTAGAAAGATTAGGAGTGCCAATATGATCGATGAAGAGGTTAGTAAGTAGTTAGAAGTTGTTACTTTCGAGCTAGATGGCAGGCTAAAGGAAGTTGTGATGTCATTTGAAAGAGTATGCTCAGAGGTTAATGAACATCAAAACATAAAAATGTTCTGCTTTCAATACTTAATGCCTCCAGGTTCATTTTTCAATGAGTTGATGGAGTTTAACTTGTTGCTGTGAAGATGATGATGAAATTAATGGTGAAGTGATCTTTAATAATGAATGATGGTCTTATTTCCACGCAGGAAATTGCGGCTACAAGTGGGAGGAAACAAAAAGTTACATCAAATGCAACAATAGGTGGGTTGTGTTGTGTTGTCAGCAGGTTTTTATTAACACTCTCTTTCAAAAGGAAATTAATAAACTGGTGAAATTTTATGCTTAGTCTAAACTTTGCCACGATTCTATCCTGTCTGGTTCATGTCTATTAATGCATCAACCTAAGTCTATATTTCTCATCGGACTGGTGGATATTGTCACGAAACTAGCATTTTTCAAAAAATCCACCCAGTTTATCTATTTAACGTTTAAATCATGTTCACGGTTGCTCATGCACATGTGCTTGAACATTTCCAGTGACGTCATGTGTGGACTGCTGCACTGCCAGCACAGCAGCGAGAAGATGATGTTCTGGGATAAAACCGTTTCCAAGGACATTATTGAAAACATCATCTTTATACAACCTGGTTGGTATTCATTAATTAATTAATTAATTCATTCATTCATTCATTCATTTATTCATTCATTTATTCGCTCATTTATTCATTCATTCAATTATTCATTCATTTATTCATTCATTTATTTATTCATTTATTTATTCGTTTATTCATTTATTTATTCGTTTATTCATTCATTTATTCGCTCATTCATTCATTTATTCATTAACTTTTGTTGTTTTCGTTTTTTTCGCATCATCTCACATGCGTCCTACCATTTTATACCGTCTGAACACCACCTACCTATCAAGTCGTAATTTTTCCAATACTTTTCAGTCATGTTATTTCCAATGTCATTCCGTCGCTAACGCAGGAAATATACGGTACGATTGCAAGACGGTGATGTTGGACATTGACAAGGATGCTGATAATCCAGGTCTCGTGCCTAACGGAGCGTCATGCGGTAGCAATAAGGTTGGTGACGTCATTATTCAATGCCATTATCGCTTGGTATTATCAACATTTTGTTTACGTCATCGCCATTTCTTGATGGCTTGATAATTTTTTGCTGTCATCGTCATTTGATGTCGTCCCTTTTATGATTTTATATCATATGAGTATTTGGTGACATCGTTAGGAGCCAATGTAATGATAGACTATATTAATGAATGATGAATGAATATAAAATTTTCAAACTGAACAACAGATGTGCATGTCCCAGCGATGTGTAGACGCCAGAGAATTTGTAGAGAGTCTCAACTGTCCTGAGTGCCACAACCACGGGGTCCGTTTCCGCATTTCCCACAATTGAACTTCTTTCAGATACCTTGTCTCATTTTTTTTTTTTATGTATGTATTCATTGTACGCTTGTTTGTTATGCTCGCTGTCAGTCAAGGGTCCCTAAGCTGATTTGATATATCGAACTGATTTGATATATTTCATTGAAAAAAGTCATTTTTTAAAAAAGACACAAACACGCAACAACAATAACGACGAATCTTTTTATAAATTTATGAATTTCTCGTTCCAGTAAAGTCCAAAATAGCAAATTATAACCTAGCTTGTACGCGTCAACTGTTCACTTTGTAGATTGCTCTGAAGTTACATGAGCCATGATTTTCCAAGTGTTTTAATTGTTCATGTCACTCCTGCATGTAAGTTGATTAAGTTATTGTTGAACCATGCAACACAAAGGTGTGCACAAACATAGGACAGTGTCACTGCGACGTGGGATACGCTCCTCCCCATTGTGACAGGTCTGGATTTGGAGGCAGTCTGCATTCCAACGCCATTTCTGATAAGTGTAAGCAGTTTAGGATCTCAACTAATTTAGATTTGTTCTGTTGATTATATATATTTCACCATTCAAATATTCTTACCCAAATTTATTATTTTTTATGAGAATCCGGCTTGAAAGTATTAATCGAAAGTTATTTTTTGATTGTGATAAGCAGCGTTTTAGAGCATTATTTCCTATCTGACAATACACGCTGCTGGCTTAGCTAGTTTTTGAACCCAGTAGCTTCGCATTGGTCATGCAGATTGTAAAAATATCTTAAGGAAGTTTATAAGTTATCGTTCATTTAATTTTGCTGAATTTATTGTACAATTGATTTGTTGGATGAACGATTTGACGGTGTTAGATTCATTTTCATTTGATTCACTAATCTCTTGATTGATCGACAGCGAAGGTTGGGGCGCTGGTTGGTGTGAGCATTTTCGTGTTCATCATCTTTCCCTGCATCCTCATCATTGCAATCCTCCTCTACAAGAGGAAGCACCTCATCATGAAAAGATTGGGACTGGGGAAGTACAGGTAGGTATCCGTTGGATTGGTGTTGGAGGTATGTTTGAATGAAACGGTTGTTCCATTTTTGTAAGATTTATCGAATAAGTCACGTGTATTTTGTTTGATTGCCATTTATAACGGATAACAAATTCCAATATTATAAATAATGTTGCAAGAGAGTTAGGTTATTTACTAAAATAAGTTATTTATTTTATAAATAATAAGAAACTCATATCTGTTCAACAAAATGATAGCGATGCACATTGGTGATGATAGTTTCTGTTGTAATGATTCTGATCAAATGAAAATTTGGTGTTGAGGGTGATGATAATTAAGATAATGACATTTGAGATTTATGTTGATGATGATGATGGTGGTGGTGGTTATGACGCCGTCTACACGACGTCAACGCAGATCTGTTTCTCGCCCGACTCTGCCACCCCGAGGTGAACCAGTGACCAACACCTACCCACGCCCCCCTCCACCTTCCTACCCGCAACTTGCTCCCCCTCCACCACTTCCATCGGGACCTCCTCCTTTTACGACAGTCCCTCTAATGTCATCACATTCTTTCTCAAGACCCCCAAACAGTACAAAACCCCTTGTCAACAAACTTCAATCATCCAAATCCTTCTCACAAACTTCACGCACGAAGCCTTCCATTGAAATGGTGCATGGAAACTTCGTGAGGCCACAACCACCAGTCAGGCCTTCAAGACTGCCTGCTTCTACTGCAAGATCTGATGAAGACACTGAAGTTGTGGGTGCAAATGATGCTGGTGATTTGAGAAGTGCCCTCACAAAACTTCAGGAGTTAGGTTAGTTGTGTAGCGCTTCATTCAAATTTTGTCTTTTGTTGCAATCTTCGATAAGTTGCAATTCTCGCCGGTTAAATTGATTTCAATTAGCTAGTTTTAATAGATTATTATTATATAAGAAAATCTGTTGCCTGCAGACTTCTTGAACCCGAAATATACTCAGCGACATCATAGAGAAACACGGCTGCCAAGGATATCAAAAAGTGATGACGATGATGAGAGCAACCATGATTACGACCACCAGAACAGGAAGCACGTACCATTCAGGAAGGCACCCCCACCACCTCCTCAGGTCAAGGACACTGACATGAGTGAGGACGAGGATTGCAAGCAAAATTACCAGAAAGCGTCACAAGCTGCCAAACGTCAGCCTTCCATCAGCAAGAAACCATCATTTCGTCCTCCTCCGCCTCCGAAACCAAAGCCAATTTAAGCATACCTTCATATTTAAAGCATTTATTAATTTTACTAATTTTCTTTTGTATTTAATTGATTTATTTTGTTTTACAATTTTGTTTTTTAAAAATTGTTATGAAAATATATTTGCGTAATTTCATTATTTCCTTGTTTTGTTTGACATAATTTTGAACGTAAGACTAAGAAAGAGGTAAATTATTATCAAGAATATAAAAAGTACGTCTGTTTATGCAAGTCTGGTTCTTTCAATGTATTATGATTAGTCATCCTTTTTTCGTTTTTCCTAATATCCATGTGTAACACGAATTTTACTAAGTAGAAATATCTATATTCATACTTGTTCAAAATTTCACCTGATATCTTAATATTTCATTATTTGCCTAAAATGTGCAATTCTCTAGAAATATGATTTGACTTTGTTACAACTTTCGTTTGGATTGCACCGATATTTTGAACAATGGCTCAAATTGACTTCACTATGTATTATCATCGTTGATCTATTTGGTTAGATGCTTTGGAATCTGTTTATGTGCTTTCATATTTGTCTTTTCTAATCATGATTTTTTTAAATAAAAAGGTTTAAGTAGGTGGTCTTTGTTAAATTTATTCACGGTCAGTGCAAAGTGTCAAAATTACAAATAGTTTAAATAAGCGTTTTCTATATTTTTTAAAATTCTGAAGACCAAATAAGACCAAAAATTCTGAAGACCGGATAAATAATATCCGACTCCGACACCTCAAAAAAATTCAGACCGGCAAAAATTTCCAACCGACTCTGACACTATTAGAGATCCAGTTTAGGTAAAATTCATTACTTAGTAAAATGTCAAGCGAGCTAATATGAATTTAAGGTAAAAATGGGTGTTAGTAAATATCGTAAGAAAGATTGAAAAATTAAATAGAAAATTAAGCAACGCTGAAAAAACTGACTTTTCTAAACAACTGTATATCTGATAGTCTGAACCCTATATATAAATATATATTTTGGGTTTAGACTATCATATATACAATTATTTATAAAGATCACTGCGTTTTTGGCATTATTCAACTTGTAGTTGAGTTTCTCAATTTTTCTAACGAGACTTATCATCTTGATGAAGTTTTTAAAATATAATAAACTTCGTCAAGATGATAAAACATTTTTCATTTAATCAAACTTTCACTCGATAAAATATAATTTTTAAAATTATTTTTTTTAGAAAATTTGAGAAACTCAACTACAAGTTGAATAATGCCGAAAACGCAGTGATCTTTATAAATAATTGTATATATATATATATATATATATATATATATATATATATATATATATATATATAAATAATACAAGAGTTATGTGTACATGGATAAGTGGTCTTTTTAGTATAGGAGTATAGGTAAGCAGTCAAACAGCGTACCATCAAATGCAGATACACCTTATACTTTAAAATTCAACAATACGTTGCAAGTCAAATTTGAATTGCGCAAGAACGCTATAGAAATTACGCTGTGTATATTTTACGTTATATTTAATTTTCAAGTTTGTTTTTAACTGTATTTAATTTATTCGATATTTAAACACTTTGAAATATTGAATCTAGATCTCAAATCCTCACTGAATAATATTTGAATATCGATCTTAAAACAACTGTGTGCTATTTTGTTTATGATTTATTGATCATTCGTTCTGTTTTTCAATTCCCAATTCAATTACAATAATCACATATTGACCATATCCATAACATGCTGACCACAACTAAAACATGCTGACCAAAATTGGCTATTAAAAACATTATACCTTACAGGTACTGTGAACTATGTAAAAGCATTATTCAAGCCATCTAAATAAACACTTCAGAAATAAATAATTCTTTGTAATCAAATCTTCGAATGTGTTTTAAGAAGGGCGTTGTTTTCGGCGGCAAACAGTTACAAATTTGTGAGTTGTTTGATATTTGAATTGAAGTCTTTAAAAATTTATTTTAATGATCGAATAATTAATTCTAAGAGTTCAATACTTTAACTTCGAGAATCGTAATTCCAAAAAGTTAATGAATTCAAATATTTTTTTATTGTAGAAAAATTAATTTGCTATATATGTGGGTAATAATAATGATATGAAGCTTAATTTTCAACAACAATTTCCCAATTGCAAATATTAAGATAATCAATTTGTAAAAGAAACGACAGACATAACTTTACGGTAAAATGAATTTCAGATTGGTCTGCTTCCTTATCATTTTGCTGGAAGGTACGTCCAACCTATATAATCTCCGCAACAAATTTTTCTATTCATAAAACTTTTTTTTTTTTTAATTAAACTTTCACTCGATAAAATATAAACTGAAAATAATTTTTTGCAGCATATATGATACCATCCAACACCAACAGCCAAAGTAATAAACAAAATTTATTGAATTAAGATAAACGCTTGAAAAACATTTTCACTTACGTTCAGCAGCTACTTCGCCAACTCGTTTGGTGGGAGGAAATTCCAGTTATGGAAGACTTCAAATGCTTGTGGAAAATCAATGGTACACTATTGACAGATACGGATGGAGCCACACAAACACCTAGTAAGTTTCCTGTTTCAACATGTATTTGTAATTTTTATTAAATGTTTGTTCAAGTCCAATATAATCATTTTCATTCAAAAATTACGATTAACCATGCAAATACCATGTAAACTAACTAAAATGTTGTAAAAAGCGTAGCATGCAGAGAGCTGGGTTTTATAGGAGGTGTGCTTTCCAACAATTTCAACGAAACCAAGGAAGGCAACGATGCTCTAATTTGGCCTTCCTCTTTTGTGTGTAAATCAGAAAATCTCAATCTCAGTAGTTGCAATCAAGGTAGTCCTGTTAGCACAATCTACCACAACGAAAATGTCTTTCTAAGCTGTTTCTCAAGTAAATTCATTGCCATTTTGCTTTAAATTCGTTTTTAAAAGCAATTTAAATAGATGACATCCCATTTCATCAGCATGCAAAACATCAGAAGGAAGGTTTGAATGTGCCAATAAAAACTGCATCACAAATGACTTGGTATGCGATTTGGTTGATCAGTGCTTGGACAACAGTGATGAGCTGCTGACATGTCGTTAGTACTTGTTCTGCATGGTTCAGCTTAAAAATGTATTCATAATTTAACTATATATAATAAGGACAAAACGCATTTGGCTCCACAACACAAACAATTTAGTGTGAATGCGAATCTCTATTTCCATCTCCACTTTTATTATTTCCAAAAAAATTTTATTTTTAAAAATTGTTGTTAATATTTCTGCCACAATAGCACATATTTTATTATGTTTCCCATGTTCATACAAAAACACAAAAAAATGAAGAAAATGTTAGATAACAAAACGGTCATCCAAAATTCTAATAAAAGATTTACAGCAAATAAGACTATTTTAATCACGTCAATGTTTTGGACCGCCAATAATTTAGTTCATCAATATGTAACACAAGTTGGGGTCCCTTAATTCTGTACATTTACTTCTAAAGAAACAGGTTGAGTTCAACTCGCTTCAGTTGCACTTGAAACATCATATAAAAATTTGTTAAATAAATAACTTGCGCTATTATAAATTTGTATACAAAATTTAAACTTAATTTTTAATTTCAAAAATTCTTCTGACTTGAGTATTTAAAGAAATGTTAGATGGGAATAACATTAGCTTACATCATTTTACCAGCGTGTAACGAGACCGACCAATTCAAATGCAAGAACGGAAAGTGCGTATTGTCGATAAGAAAGTGCAACTTGTTCGATGATTGTGGAGACTACAGTGATGAAATTGATTGTGGTAGGTATTTTTTAAATTAAATCCACTACTATTATTTACTAACATTATCATGGAAATTTAATAAAATAATAATATATTTGTTAGACTGTGTAGGGTTAGCAGCAATCAGTTACGATTACCATAATGCAGCCAGATGTAGAAATGGAAGATGTTACCTTCGTAGTCAGCTGTGCAACTTCAATGATGACTGCGGAGACAAAACTGACGAAATGGGATGTGGTTCGTACGTCATTTTTCAATCAACTAATTGCTGCAAATTGACAATTTAAAGTAGAAATTAGTTTGTTTAATATTTACAAAACAAAATAAAATGGAGTAAAATAACGATGATAATTAATTTAGTTATTAATAATTATCTCAAAAAAAACTAACTTAAATTCTATTTAAGAAGAATTATAAAAAATATGCGAAAATAGTCTTGTTAAGATGTGAAACTGAATTACGTACATTGTCCGTTGGCCGCATAAAGTGGCCTAGCAGACGCTTGTGTATCGCGGGCCGCAGTTTGCCCACCTCTGTTGTATAAGTATAAAAATGCTTTGAAGTTTCAACATGAAAGCTATAACAAAACATGGCTAATGTTGATATAACTAAATGGCTTGCATAATGAAATTACATTTTGTGTCATTCATAATTTTAGCTTACAAGAAAATAAATCTTTACGAAAACGGCATAAACGTAAAGCGTGGACTGCTGATAGTAAAAGTCAACGGTACATATGGTACCGTCAGGGCAAGCAACTGGAATTCAGTGAATTCAAAGTTGGTTCTGTAAACATGCATTGCATACGAACAAATAAAAAATTGTTTTTTTTTATGTAGAATTAGCGTTACCTCAAATTTAAGTAGATATTTGTTATTTAAAGAGTGGCTTGTAAAGGATTGGGATACGATAATGGGATAATGCAAGCTAAACAATTTGCATACCATTACGATGACTGTGACAGGAAGTATCGCAATGAATATTACAACTCCTACTACAATCAACGTAATGTCATTAGTAGTTTTTATAGAAACAACTTGATCCTGCCGGTGATAATGGATAATGTCAATTGCACTGATTCTAATTCTGAGAGTTTGGAGGATTGTCCTTACTCTCCACCTTCAAAGACGTGCCAAAACCTTCAAAGTGTCGTCTTTTTGAAGTGTTATTCAGGTATTTTTTCATTTGAAAACTAAATACATGTCTGTTAATCAAGTAGCGTGAAAATTAAATTTTCAAGAACGCAATTGGTCATTGAGATTGGTTGGTGGAAACAATAAATACGGAAGATTGCAGGTGCAAATTAATGAAACCTGGTACACAGTTAAGGTGGGACATTCAATGAACTGGCAGTACCAAAGTTATAACACAAAGTAAATGTTAAAATTTGTAATGTTGCTATATATTTTTTAAGCCAATTTTTTGAACTTTTAAAACATCAAAAATTTAATCAAGATAGAGAGCAATAAAAGCATCGAAGGCTTTTTTTACATTTCTATTTAGCATCTATTTAGCTTCAGTAAAAAACACATAGCGCTTATAAATGCATGTAACTCAACGCATCATATGCCGCATGTGGTAGGCAGAGATCTTTCGCATCTGATTCTAGACACAGCAGCAATAGTACAAGTTGACTAGGCATCTTAAAACAGCTACACCATGCTATCCATACTAAATACTAAATATTTTACAAATTTTAACATCTACCGCTTAAGACCTAATTCCAAAAACTTATTCATTATTTCGTGCTGTCTAATCTCAAAATTTTTCGGTCAATCCACATTAAATTGAAATATTTTATTAAATATTCAGATGTTCCCTTAACTAATTTATTTTAACTACTTGTTACTTTGCCAACGGGTTTGAATAAAAATCGCTAAAAACATTATGATAATGATGATACTAACACACAGTAATAATAATTTTAATATTAACTATATTCATTACCATAACATTGCACATAAAGAGTTGTTTGTGGACAGCTTGGCTTCAAATACGGCAATTGGTACGTTAACGGAAGTGGTAAGTTGGCTGGTGACGACGTGCCATCTATAATGCACGACGTTGGCTGCAGTTATGGCGACACAAGTCTAGAAATGTGTTATCATTTATTGTCTCGATCGAATAATCACTACGATGATGTGGTCCTTCGCTGTTTTGACGGTTAGAAACTTTTCAATAAAATTTTGTTGAAGTTTTATTCGTTATCTAATTTTATGCAAAACATTTTTTGTAAGTATGCAACGAGACGGATTGGTTCCAATGCAAAAACGGACGCTGCATACCACACGAACAAAGATGTAACCTTAACAACGATTGTTATGACAATAGTGACGAAATGAATTGTGGTAAGTTGCAAATATCGATTTTTATATTTAAATATTAACTAGATAATTTGACGTCGGTGAATTAATAAATTTGGACGAAGTTGTTGTTGTTCAACTTGTCGTTATAAGTTGCTGCGCTGTGCATGGGGTCAACGCTGTTGAAAGGAAATTGATAATGATATTTATATAGCGATCTTATTAAAACAACATTTCACCAATGAAGTTGTTTTATTTGGCATCGTAATTTATTCTAACTACTACAAACCACTAATTTTCGAAACCACTGCCTCCATTTTGTTTTGTGCCTTGCGAAAATGTCAACAAACCGCTTAAAGTATTGGCTTTGACAAAATTGCCTTTTTTCACATAATTTTTATTTTCAATTATTAGACAGGATAATGAAAATTTGAATTATTTTAAAAAGCTATCTAGATAAGTTTATATTTCCAAAATAATCAATTCATAAGCGCGGATTAGTTTTGCATGCTATTTCTAATTATTACTGTTAATTATTACGGCGATTGTTTTAATCAACGTTTATGCATACACAGTTAAACCTCCGTATAACGAATTTAATGGTTCCAGGAAAGAAGTTCCTTATATAGAAATTTTGCTATATAGACTTTGTTCGGGAAAAAATTTCTATATTGCCTAAAATGTGTTTACATGCTATATTTTTTAATGAAAAACAACTTCTTAATCATTAATTTTGATAACAGAAAGTAATAATACATGGTATGATTGTCAAAGATAAAATTTTTAGAGTGAAATTTATTCTTTGATCCAACGAAAATAATCGAGGTAAAATTTACAAAAATTACTAGAACAAGAAACAATCTTTTACATTTTGGGTGATATTCAAGAATTGAATTTTAAATATCTAATTATCAATGCTATGTTGATCATTTTACTGTTCGAAATTCTCAGCTTATCGTTCACGCATTCAAACAAATTTTATTTTAATATTTAACTTTGATTGTTAATTTATTGATTTTTCATTTTTTAATTAAGTATTATTAAGAATGAACTTTTTCATAATTTTTTATAGTTTGTAATGTAACTACGAACCAATATAAATGTAATGATGGTCAATGCATCTGGGCGAATCAAAGATGTGATCTATCAACTAATTGCAGAGATGGAAGTGATGAGATTGGCTGCCGTGAGTTTTTTTGTACATTATATAGAAATTATTTTGTTCTATAGAAACAGTTTTATGTAAAATTCCAAAGGTCGTAAGAAATTCGTTATATTGAGATTTTCGTTGTATAGAAGTTCGCTATACTGAGGTCCGACTACAATAATATTATTTTAATGTAATGAACGCATATCTTAATAATATCTAAATTTTATACATGCACATCATTAATTTTTTTACCAATTGGATAATATCAGTGGCATCTATCCGATCTAGCAATCGGGTTAGATATTTAGGTTCTAATCTTTTCAAGCTTTATACAACCGACGACTGAGAGTTTGAGGTGTTTTTCAAAAATCATTACCAACTATCGAGTAAAAAATAAATGACTATTAAAAATATTTTACATATATAAGATTTGTTTTTAATAAAATCGTTTTAATCATTAACATGTTTCTTTTTTGAATGACGTATTTTTACCAGTTACTTTAAAAATATGATAGAGCATGAGACTAGCAATCTTAGCTATAGTGAATTGTATTTGCACCAAATAGTTACGAAGGTTGAAGTTTTTATTTTTGCTCAATTGAATCAGTAATTATTTGAACAATTTTACAATTCATATTTTTCGTCAAGTTCATTTCTGACCTGGTCGCGACCTGCAGGTTAAGAAGGGCTCTCTTAGATACATTTTAATCAGTAATTAAAATGTATTATATCATAAATGAAAATATAACAAGAGGTTTTTTTACTTATTCAAGCTTGCAACAACACACAACTATTCTTTCAATGCAACGACGGCAAGTGCATCCACTGGTTCCAAAGATGTGATTTCGTCGTCAACTGTGGAGATATGAGCGATGAGGATAATTGTCGTGAGTTGCATCTAACTTTTAAATCACAACAGTAAAAAAATACTCAATAAAATACTGTGCATATTTTCGGTTATTATTTTTACTACTCAGTATACCGTTTTACATTTATTTTGTTACATTATTTTTCAAATATTTTTTTACTTACTGGGCAATATTTTTATTGTTTCTGATCTCTTTAATTTTGACGTTTAATTGCTATTTTGAACGTTTATTCCTAATATTCTATACGGTATATTGAGAAACTTTCTAACACATAATAACATAGGAAAGAATAAAAACAATTAAAAATATACCTAAGTTCAGCATAAATATTATCTTCAGTACTAATCTGAAATTTTTTCTTGTTTTCATTTTAATTAAATGTTGAAGAAATGATTTAAATATTTCAGCATGTGAAGGATCAGGAGGATTCCGATGCAATAACGGCAGATGCATACGTGCTAGATACCGATGTGATTTAACTGATAATTGTGGTGATAATAGTGATGAAGAGAACTGCAGTAAGATTGTTTTATTATTTCGTAATTTCGATTTTTATTCATACTAAGATATTTTGCCTTGAAGTTTGTAATGAGACGACCAGCAGATACCAATGTGCTAATGGTAACTGCATATTGGAATTATATAAGTGCAACTATTATGATAACTGTGGTGATGCTAGCGATGAAATTGGATGCCGTGAGTTTTTGAAGGGGTCTTCTTGTTTTGTTTTACTAATTAAATTAAAATTATTTCAGCGTGCAAAAAGAATGATTTCGTTTGTTCCAACGGCCGGTGTGTAAGGTTGCCAAATGTTTGTAACATGGTTAACGAGTGCGGTGATTGGAGCGACGAAATGAAATGCTGTTAGTGCTTCAATTTTCAATGACTATGTTGTAATAGCAAATATTTTAAATCTAACAAGTTAAGGCGTATTATCGAAATCGTATAGGAACCATTAACCATACAAGGTATTGTAATTTTAAAATATTCTTATTAACACACTGCCATGCCAAATAATTTGATCGCAGTTAATAAACCTCCCAACAAACGGTATAACTCATAATACTGCAACATTGCATAACTGATCTCGTGGCGCGCTAACAAGTGCTGAAAATCATGGACTGCTTGTTGCTACTTTCTTAGCAAGAAAGTTGCTACAGAACCTTGTTAAAACATGTTTAAATGTGGATAGCATTATCTACATTAAGCATTAATAATGATGGCATTATTTTTGCTATTTCAAGAAGTAACGCTGCCGACAAATCTACACGTCTGCACGACTCAAAAGTTACATAAAATTACTAATTCAAAAAAGAAAAACAGATTAAATCATCTAAATGAACTAGCATTAATAAACCGTCGTTTTAACGAAAATTTAAGATTCAAATCTATTGTTGGTATACCATTTGCGTTAGGAAATTTTTTTCTTTTTTGGAATATTTTTATTACATTCTTTGAAAATAATTCTGCCTACAACCATGAAAAATTTAATAATTCTAATTAATTAATTTAATGTTTAAATTGCAACATAACAGCTTGCAACAACACCAATCAGTTTAAATGCCTAAACAACAGATGTATATATAAACATTTACAATGTGACTTCATAAACAATTGCGGAGACAACAGTGATGAGTCAGATTGTGGTGAGTTTACTTAATTTATTGAAACAAAATAAAAATAATGACTAAAACAATTTAATAATTTAAATTATTTGCCAGCAAGATGTTTTGGTAAACGTGACGAAAGTTTATTAAATCATTGCAGCGAAAAAATTTTCAAACTTAGATATAATCAACAAAAGAAGTTTTAATCTTTATAATACCTTTGAAAACTATTACATCGGTAATGATATCGATAATTATTATAGAAAAGTATGTCGGTAAGTCGATTCTATTTTAAAGGTATTATTTCAAAGATTAACTACAATAAATTCCGAAATAATCTAGAAACTATTTGCATTATAACAACTGCATCAGTGAAAACGATGGTATATGTGCAAGTAAATATTTCGATTCAGATCCTAGACGGATAAAAGTGTTATGCGACAACTGGGAAGGTAACACATCAAATTGTTTTTCTACAACAATTTTTTAATAACAGTTTTCGTTTCATCACACTGAAGAATACGAAATTTTGGAAAAGTGTTGGATCAGGTCAGTGCATTCTAGAGATCGGAACAACAACTATAAAATAAAGTGCTTAAATCTACTTAGGCACGAGGGCATATACGTTAAAAATTTGGTTACAAATTGCAAGTAAATATTTTTTAAATATATTTTCTCGTAAACCACATTTTTATAAGTGGCAATTTAATGTTAGCAGTTTATTTTTAATTATCTTTGAAAATTTAAAACTATAAAAAACCCATCCAAATGACATTCATCAACTACCTGAATAGGATGGCAAAGAGTTTACAATATAAATATTGTAATTTTTTTATAGGGTTTCTGAGAAAAGATATTTTTGTATAATTATATATATATTGTTGTAACCCTCGAACGCTCCTTACTCTTAACACCAATTTTATAACTTCAAAGATCCCTATATTTCCAACACCAGTGTTGTAGCTTCAAACGATCGTCAAATGTTCGTTATTCCGTAAGTTCAAGACTTCCGATAGATTTAACACAACTGCTTCAAACGCAAACTTTGTTGAACGTTTATTTGAATGCCAACAGTAATAAAAACACTAAACTAATTCAAGTAATTACATAGATCACAATTACAACTTCGCTTCAAACCTCGCTGGAGGCCCTGACTTCTCTGCTGGAAACCTGACTGGAAACCTGTGTCTCCGCAGGATCTTAAATAGGCTCCAAGATGGATTTTTATGATCAAAAGATTACAAATATCTTTTTACGATCCTCTATCAAAAGGTTACAAATATAGCAAACATAACAATAATTAAGATAAATACTATAGCGCAATTTAATTATTCCGACTGTTATAACATTACCTCCACCTTAGACTGTTGTACAACCACACCAGGTCTTGGCTCTTGAAACTTGCGTTATTTCTTTTCGGGTCACGCCACGTTTCCGTTGTTTCGGTTCCTTTAGCCAAAAACAGACGTCGTGATTCTTTCTTGAATTTGTTACCACTTGAAGCAAGTGCAAACTTTCTACTAATTTTACAAAGTGTTGATTGGCCAAACGAAGAGCTTAACTGCATGTTATAATATTTGCTGTTGACATCTTTCCTGCCGATCAGTGATGGAGCGATGCAAATTTCATTTTCATCTGCAATGAAGCCGTCGTTAACGTCATCATCCAGGAAGACGAGAACCAAGCTTTTCTTCCAGGTGCATATTGGAGGCGTTATCTCAAAACTTGAATCATCGTTTGTCACAAGTTCTTGTCCGTTGTCGCTGTTAGAAAGGTAACTACAGTGGCGTCACTTGGGGGGTGCGGGGGGTGCGGACCGCACCGGGTGACACCCTCACAGGGGGTGACACCAAAATAGTCAGATAATATATAAACAAAATCCCAAAGTATAAATTATGTTTTTCTCAATCTAATTAACATAATTCTATTTTTGGTCGTGTATTATAGTTCATAAACGTAAAGACTTATATTAAATTAAGAAAAACTTCAACATTATTTTGCAAAGATATAGTCTCGGGATCAGCAATTTAGTAAACATGGGCGCATAATAAGTTAAGGTAAATACGAGAAAATTTTTTTAAATTTAACATGCCTTTAATTAAACAAAATTTGTTAAAATACAGTGAGGTTCAAAATGATAAAAACGGTCAATTTTTCAAATTTTCTTAAAAACTATTTATAAATGATATGTTTCTAAAAATCGTACAAATATTGTGATTATTAACTTAATTAATATACACGCGATTATAGAAGAATAAAAAATTATTTTACAGTAACAACCAGTTTAAAAGTGATCTGGAAAAATTTGTCTGTCCAGCTTATTCTGTCAGTCAAATGAACCCAGAATGTGGCTCTTTTGAATATCTTGTTGATGCTCTTCTTCGATTGGATAGTTTTCTACCTGACTATAAATGCTTAAAAGATAAAGGTATCAAACAACTTTTTAAGCTTTTTGATAACAAAGTAACATCTAACATGTATCATTTTAGAACCCATTTGCAAATTGTCATCTGCACTGTTAGGAAACAGATCATGTGACGGTACTGAGGGTGACGTTTGTTTTATTTTGTACATATGACGTAATTTTGTTTTTAATTACAGGAACCCCTAAATTTTCTGACTTAAAAATTCTTGGTCCTTTTGTTAGAGAAAGACAATGGATTGAATTTGTTTGCAGCTTTCAGAGCAATGAAACAAGTCAGGAAGCTCTATTTTTCGTAACATTTTTGTTTGACGGCCTACCTTCAACCGACGTACCTACTTTTAATGTGACTGGAAAAAATCGAAATGCAACCTTACACGAAAGATATCTTTTGGGCAAACTTGGAAAAACTGTAAAATATGTCTCATTATAATTTTGTTAATAAATATTTTCAAGTTTATATTTTGTGTAGCTTTCTTGTGAAATTCAATCTGGTTGGTCCCAGGCTCCGCAGATTAAAAGTTTAAAAGAAAGAACTTTAGTTTCCTACTTTTTAGGAGTAAAGGTTTATTTAAATTTTAAAAAAGTACATACGTTGAGCAAGAATTTCATTAACGAATTATTTTTATTGCTTTTAAGGCATCTTTAAGTCGGTTTTCACTTTTTGAAAATCAAACAAGTGGGGTTGAATTAGAATACCAATCAACACTCCCGATAACATGTCCGGATTCAAATTCACCTGCCAGTCTGTGCAGACTGCCATTTAATTTCATCACGGGAAATTATGTTCGCATTAAAGACGATGCTTTGCAGCGATGTTCACGATATTTTCAAGAAAACAACAAATTATCAATCAAATTCCACGCCTTCACATCAACTGACATTTTCAGCACGGGAAGTTTTCAAACAGGCATAAGCGCAGTTGTTAATTCTGTTTTTCAACATAAGAAATATGATGGGGTTGTTTATGAAAACATATGGACTAATTACACTTTTCCTCTTATTACGGTTATTTCATTATAATTAATTCAACACTATTTTGTTTAAAAGTTATTTTGATTTTGAAGGCTGACCGGTACGATAGTTTTTATGGACCGGCCGTTTGTACATCCTCTGGCGATCCAAGGGTCGTGACATTTGATGGTACCTACTATTCCATCTACCAAAGTGGACAGTTTGTTTACGTCAAAAGCGATGACCGAAGTGTAGAAGTGTGTATATGAAATTGTATATAATCAAAGACAACCTTATCATAATTTATCATTAAATGTCAACTCAGGTGCATGTACGTCATCGACCTTGCGTTTCTAACGTCGCTTGTGTTTGCGGTGTGGCAATAAGGGAAGGTGCAGTGATACTTGCTGCTGACATGTGCACCGACTCGTTTCTTCGTTATTTGGTGTATCCATCTACTACATTACCGTCAGGCTATCTTGTGCAAAGAACATCTTCGGGAGATTCATTTGAAGTTCTTGTTCTTAATTGTGAACAAAAAATATTTTTCATTGTTAATGTTTTTCTTTTAATTTTAAAATTTAGTTAAACACGCCATCCGGGAAAATATTTGGATCAAACGCTGGTAACATGCTCAACATTCAAATTTTCATTCCCTCGCAATATCGTGCCTCAGTGGATGGTTTGTGTGGAAACTATGACGGCAAAGCAGAAAATGATTTACATTACAAAAATAAAACGTTGATCCCAACTAGGAATGATTTAAACTACGTTGCTTCTAGAGATTACGTCGACTTGTGGAGGTTAGATCATTTTTGTGACGAAACATTAGTTGGCTTGATGACGCCTAAAAATGAGCCACACTCTTGAATGCAGTGGGCAGATTCAAGTGCAATTCTTTCCGATTATGATGATTTCCGCTATAGGTGAGCATAAGAACAGGAATGACGGGCATCTTATAGAATTTGGTAAAATTTTATTTTATAAAATGGGAATTTTGAGAATTCACTTGACGGGAATTGGGAATAATGAACGTGAATGTGGAAAGCTAAATAAGTTAAGTTTTGATAAAAACACGTTAAATAAAAAACCAATCAACTATTCTATGCAGTGTGCAAATGCAACGCAAGTTATTAACATGGACATGGACACATTACAATTTAAAACCTCATAGGGTTTGTACATAAATATCATCAATGTAATTAAGATATAATTAAAGATGTGATAAAGATGTTTTCTTATCAAGATATGTATATATATATATATGATATATGCAGCTATTTTTATCTCCTTTATGTAACGCTGCCTGGCGTGATCATGAATATGATCAACCAGTACGCTTAATTATTAGCCACAAATACTACTGACTTTTCAAAATTGCTTCAAAATATTACAGTTGATTATTTATTTTAATTAGAACGAACTTACCTCGAAAAATTGTGGACTGTCTTTTTTTTATAAAATATCGAAAAAGACATTGAATAATTTTTTTTTTATTAAAATTTTATTTCATTAATATTCGAAGTGTTTGCATCTTTACTGTTTGAAATTAAGAAGACGTAGAGAACACAATCAGCATAATAATAGATAGAATATACAATTCCAGTCATTCGCCACTACTAACTCCAAACGATGAATTAGTTATGTAGAGCCGAAGCGCCTTTCGTTGGCCCGGGTAAAACACTATATCAGCAAATAGACGGTGTAGCAACGGGCTTCGCAAACTTCTATGTTAGACATTAGAAGAACCAGAGCTAAAACCTAATATATACAGCCGATACGTTGACTATATATTTGATATATATGAAGATGATGATCAAATAGCAAGACTTCTACAACGACTAAATTCGTCAAAATTAAAGTTTACAATGGAAAAATTAACTGACAATAAACTACAATTCCTAGACGTACTAATACAAAATGTGCAATATAAATTTAAAAACTCAATATACACCAAAGCAACAAACAAAGGCTTCTGCCTCAATGGCAATAGTGAATGTTGTCAAACATATCTAGAGAGCACGATTTCTGCTTTTCAAAACAGAGCCTATACGCACTTTCTTGATATAGAAAGTAGGAGAACAGAACTAGATAAAATCACTAAACTACTCATTAATAATGGTTATAAAAACTCCATGATCCAGAAAATAATAGGACGCAAAGAACAAAAAATCAGTAACAATAACAATGCAATCAACAATAGTAACAAAAATAACATAGTAATATATTATAAGAATCACATGTCAACCGCTTTCGAACAGGGTGAGAAAATCATAAAAAGAATCATAAAAAACAACGTCCAAGCAACCAACGAAAACGATAGTATTAAACTACGAATATACTACTCCAACTAAATAACGGCATCTCTTGTGATGAAAAACATCTGCACTGATAAACCAGAATCGATAATGGCTCGTAGCCATCTAATATATTTGTTCAAATGTAATATTGGTGAGTGCGGGCACCATAATACCGAATATATTGGTATGACGACGACCAAGTTATTGAGAAGACTCACGATGCACGTACAAACTGGCGCTATATAGTTATGTTATATTAAACGAAGTTAAAGATTGTAAAACTAATTAAATGAGCGTTAAGTATTCACTTTGAACAAACAAGAAACAAACAAAGTAGAGTAGAGACACAGTATATATATATATATATATATATATATATATATATATATATATATATATATATGTTTGTAGTTCGTTTTTTTAGATTTTTCTCACTAATAAACTAAACGTTCTCCAAAAAACTTTAGCGAGAAAAACCAGCATATATATATATATGTATATATATGTATATATATATATATATATATATATATATATATATATATATATATATATGCTAGTTAATGAAGTAATTTATAAAATTTACCGAATTTCTAGCGTTGGATAGTTTTTATTATACTTCTCAATATTTCTAACCAAATTTTTGTTGCCATTATTTATTTTATTAAAGTTAGAATAATATACAGTTTTCCAATTTCCTATTTCGATTTGGACCTAAATCGGGATTTTCATCAATATACATATATATATATATTGTTATATTTATATTTATTCTGTAATATAGTATATAAATTATAAAATTATGAAGGCTACCGCCAAATAAAAGTCTATTTGACGGTTTTGTTGAAAATTTCAATGAAACTGAATTGTCATCCGTTGCTAAACAACGAACGTGTAAATGTAAAATGTCATCCAACGAATGTGGAGTGGAAACAAATGCGGCCAAAATTGTTACTGCCTCAAATTTGTATGATTCTGTTCTGTATGTGATAGCAAAAAAGTCAAGTAGTAAAAGAAGAAAACGTTCAACAGAAGAAACATTGGATGTGTCAAATTTTGGTTATGAAACAAGCCCCGATGATTCGATTTACAATTTTACTTGGCCCACAAAATCCGGAAAAACTAAAATACAAGCCGAACGTAACTGCAAAAAAGTAATTTGGGATGAAAATCCAATAAAAGATTATTGTCATAACGTTCCCAAACCAAAAGTTGATCAAATAGTTGAGAAATGTGTTCAAGATATACAGGTTTAAATACTTAGGTTGTATCATTTAAATTAATAATAATTAAATCAATTTAAAATTTTGAAAAGATAACTGACAATTATGATATGGCAGAAGATAAACTACCGGAAATATTAACACTCTGTCAAATACAAACGGCGAGTTTCCCGACAAGCAGTTCACCAGCTCCATCTCCAAACTTACAGCTAAACATAACCGACATTCTTGACGAAAGTGTTCCTGAAATTAGTTTGCCAATCTTACAAAAACTAGCCAATATTGAAAATTCATTCTGCTCTGGCAAATGTGAAAAAACCCATGGAAATTGTTCAAATGGGATATGTCATTGTTACCAAGGCATGAAATTTAACATTTTCAAACAAACGTTTTTTTTTCTACAATTGAAATTTTCTTAAGAATTCATTATGCCAGTTTTTAAGCCATTTTTTTATTAAAAAAGATTACATAAGTTCAGACTGTTCAATGTTGGCAACCACGGTTCCGGAAATAAAAGGATTGAAATCAAGTGATTTATGTGATGTGAGAGACACTGGCAAGGGCAAAAATTCAATTTTATTATTTGCAATAAATACTTCAAGTGCAGCCGGTGAAATTCAGTGTCATTATGAAGTTGAAAAGGTGAACGCAAAATAAATATAAATTATGCTTTTTATCTAATTTGTTTTTTTAGTTATTAATTGAAATTAATTTTAGTTGAATCTGGCAACAAATTTATTCGATGGAAAAACTTCGTCAAAACAAAATGGAACTTACGATAATAAAAATACTACCATCTGTCCACAACCTGATGCTTTTGAAAAAAGTTTTATTACCAACTACAAATTTTCCAGTGGAGTTACGTTTTCTTCTTTATCGGAAGGAAGGCCAGCTCTTAAAGTTACAATAAAATTAAGCAACAAAAACGGAGAGATTTCTAATGAATCTGCAACTTATTTTCTGTTTGATTCCGTGTGCTACGATTGCACAGTTGATAGATGCACCGAAAAGGTTTAAAATTTATAATTTTAATCTAACAAATTATACAAAAAATTATAATAAATAAATTAAATTAATTGAATATTAAATTAATTTTGTTACTGTAGAAAAATGCTTGCATAATAAATGGCTACTGTTTCAAAAACCAATCCTCAAATCCTGACAAATCATCTGAAATATGCAATCCTCTCTTATCAAATTCGTCATGGACCCTAGGTATTATTGCCAACTATCATACATTTTTCAACGCAGTAACAATTTATAAAATAAACATCAGCAACGTCGAGCGCGGTAAGTTTGAACTGCATTGTGAAACTTTTAAAGAAGGCGATTATTGTATGAAATTTCATGTTTTATGGCACTTCACATTTTGCAAACTTTTGAAACGCTCCTCATTCATGAATGCGATCTTCGCTAAATCACGCTTTAATATGCCATTAAAGGTCTACCTATCCCGAGAAAGGCTCAGTTTTTAAATCTGGGGTTGAGCCCTTGAAGTAAAAAAAAATCTTCAGCGAGTGTAGCTAATGAGAAAAAAAAATTATTCTCACTTAATAGCAAGCACATTTAATGATAAATTAGTGGTTGAATTGATGCGATGCTCATGCATATTTTTTAAAATTTACACTATTAAACGATTTTATAGAGCAATCGAATGTTTATGAAATTGCAAATGGAGCGCCCTGTCATTCAGGATCAAAAAAGTACCTGTTGTTTGTAGTTGGAGGAAATCAATTGAAAATTAATTAAAATGATTTAAACCGAGTCTTAAGTTGCAGCCATTATAGTGAGAAAATTTAGTTTCAGTACGTCGCAGGTTCTTTCTGGACAAAGAAAACGTCTAGTAGATTATTGTTATTAATATTAATATTAAAAATGCTGTAATATTATATGAATACAGATATTAATATGACAAATATTATCTTAAACTAACAATTGATCAATTTAGTAGGAAAAATGATTGTTTACAAAGTGGTTGATTGAATAAATGAGTGGATGATCACAGCAATACACACAAGTGATTGCCAGCACTGTTTTCTTTCTGATAAAGTTCATGTAAATAAGTCTGTTCAGGAGTCAAGAATCCACGTAGAGAAAAATATCCATAGCCTGCAAGTTCAAGGGGTCGGTTATAACAATATCGATAGAATAATTTTTAGTATGCATGTTGAGTAGAAAGAAATATGAAAAAGCTGTAATATGTAATTAACGATTTAATTTTTTGTTTTTCATTTTACAATTTTTGATTCTACGACTAAAAACAATTTAAGTATAAAAGTTAATAATACTGTAAACAGCTTTGGCGAATTTTGGTAAATTTGTGAGAAGTGACATGATGGTGCCGCATGCTTTCTACTAACCCATTTAAAAAGCTCTGCCATATAAATGCAAGAAAGCGTCACTTTTCTAAAAGTTTCAAGCAAGCTAATGTTTTAAAAAGCGACATCATTCCAAACACAAAACGATGGTCATGAATTGTGATTCTAAACCAGTAATTCTTAACATTGTACTCTAACCCCAAAAGGCACACCATGTAGAAAGCATTAAACAATATGGCGATTGTAACATCTTAAAAACATATATTTAGAATGAATGTTGCTAAATTATAGAAAAAAACAGAGTGTAGGAGTTGGAAATTTTTTCCGAAGTTTAGATTGGACTTTTTAACGGACCGGAATCAAACATTTTTAAGGAGTCGGATGAAAAACATCTGACTTCGGATGATATTATGAGTTTTAAAAAAAATTTCATTTTGACAATTTTTTTAAAATCAAGTTTTTTTTACAAGATATGCAATCATATCACTGGTATGCATTTAAAAAAAATTTAGATGTCTCCAATATTTTAATTGTTCTGCGTTCGATGAGTTCTGGAATAGGTAAATGTTTGCGATCGGCGTGTTCACAACTCAGGAAAATGTTTTATACAAATTTATTAACATTTAAATTTTTTAAATTATCTTCCCTATTCAGTTGAACCCGAAAAAACAACCAACCTGCCTTCGATGAGTTCTGGAATAGGTTAATGTTTGCGATCGGCGTGTTCACAATTCATAAAAATGTTTTTTCAAAATTTGTTAACAAATTAATTTTATAAATTACCTCCTCTATTCAGTTGGACCCGAAAGAACAACCAACCTGCCTTCGATGAGTTCTGGAATAGGTTAATGTTTGCGATCGGCGTGTTCACAATTCAGGAAAATGTTTTATACGAATTTATTAACATTTAAATTTTTTAAATTATCTTCCCTATTCAGTTGAACCCGAAAGAACAACCAACCTGCCTTCGATGAGTTCTGGAATAGGTTAATGTTTGCGATCGGCGTGTTCACAATTCAGGAAAATGTTTTTTCAAAATTTGTTAACAAATTAATTTTATAAATTACCTCCTCTATTCAGTTGAACCCGAAAGAACAACCAACCTGCCTTCGATGAGTTCTGGAATAGGTTAATGTTTGCGATAGGCGTGTTCACAATTCATAAAAATGTTTTATTTATTAACAAATTAATTTTTTAAATTACCTTATTCAGTTGAACCCAAAAAAACAACCAACCTGCCTTCGATGAGTTCTGGAATAGGTTAATGTTTGCGATAGGCGTGTTCACAATTCATAAAAATGTTTTATTTATTAACAAATTAATTTTTTAAATTACCTTATTCAGTTGAACCCAAAAAAACAACCAACCTGCCTTCGATGAGTTCTGGAATAGGTAAATGTTTGCGATCGGCGTGTTCACAATTCATGAAAATTCTTTATACGAATTTATTAAAAAATTTATTTTTTAAATTACCTTATTCAGTTGAACCCGAAAGAACAACCAACCTGCCTTCGATGAGTTCTGGAATAGGTAAATGTTTGCGATCGGCGTGTTCACAATTCAGGAAAATGTTTTATACGAATTTATTAACATTTAAATTTTTTAAATTATCTTCCCTATTCAGTTGAACCCGAAAGAACAACCAACCTGCCTTCGATGAGTTCTGGAATAGGTTAATGTTTGCGATCGGCGTGTTCACAATTCATAAAAATGTTTTTTTCAAAATTTGTTAACAAATTAATTTTATAAATTACCTCCTCTATTCAGTTGAACCCGAAAGAACAACCAACCTGCCTTCGATGAGTTCTGGAATAGGTTAATGTTTGCGATAGGCGTGTTCACAATTCATAAAAATGTTTTATTTATTAACAAATTAATTTTTTAAATTACCTTATTCAGTTGAACCCAAAAAAACAACCAACCTGCCTTCGATGAGTTCTGGAATAGGTAAATGTTTGCGATCGGCGTGTTCACAATTCATGAAAATTCTTTATACGAATTTATTAAAAAATTTATTTTTTAAATTACCTTATTCAGTTGAACCCGAAAGAACAACCAACCTGCCTTCGATGAGTTCTGGAATAGGTAAATGTTTGCGATCGGCGTGTTCACAATTCAGGAAAATGTTTTATACGAATTTATTAACATTTAAATTTTTTAAATTATCTTCCCTATTCAGTTGAACCCGAAAAAACAACTAACCTGCCTTCAATGAGTTCTGGAATAGGTTAATGTTTGCGATCGGCGTGTTCACAATTCATAAAAATGTTTTTTCAAAATTTGTTAACAAATTAATTTTATAAATTACCTCCTCTATTCAGTTGAACCCGAAAGAACAACCAACCTGCCTTCGATGAGTTCTGGAATAGGTTAATGTTTGCGATAGGCGTGTTCACAATTCATAAAAATGTTTTATTTATTAACAAATTAATTTTTTAAATTACCTTATTCAGTTGAACCCGAAAAAACAACCAACCTGCCTTCGATGAGTTCTGGAATAGGTAAATGTTTGCGATCGGCTTGTTCACAATTCATGAAAATTCTTTATACGAATTTATTAAAAAATTTATTTTTTAAATTACCTTATTCAGTTGAACCCGAAAGAACAACCAACCTGCCTTCGATGAGTTCTGGAATAGGTAAATGTTTGCGATCGGCGTGTTCACAATTCAGGAAAATGTTTTATACGAATTTATTAACATTTAAATTTTTTAAATTATCTTCCCTATTTATTTGAACCCGAAAGAACGACCAACCTACCTTCGATGAGTTCTGGAATAGGTAAAGGTTTGCGTTCACAATTGATGAAAATTTTTTATACAAATTTATTAAATTAATTTTTTAAATTTCCTTCCCTATTCAGTTGAACCCGAAAAAACAACCAACCGGCCCTCGATGAGTACTACTGGAATAGGTAAATGTTTGCGTGAAGATTGCGTGTAAAAATAATTTTGCGACATGATAAATGAGTTTTTTTAAATGGTATCCAAAGGACACTCAGTTAATATTGAATTTACTTATTAATTCTACAATTTTATCAGCAGGTCAAAAGAATTTAGCATCCATGCAATTAAGTCACCAATATGTGGTTGTCCTCATGATTCCTGTTGTTTTGTGTCGCGTGATCTTTGCATAGCTGAAGATTTATTGAACGTTTTTTTACAAACTAAATATAATGAATGACAATGTTCAGATGACTATCAAACAATCGTGTGTATAATAAGCCAATGATATGTGACGTGGATGTAGTTATGGTGGCAAATCAATCAATCAATTAATCAATCAATCAATTAGCTTATAAAGCGCTATTTCCGTGATGTTCAACAGCGCTCCTCAATGAATTTTGAAAACAGATGGGTCTTGAGATCCGCTCTGAACTTCGCAAGTGATGGAGAAATAGTTAGAGAAGTAGGTAGAGAGTTCCAGAGAAAAGGACCAGAAAAAGCAAAAGCAGATTTGGCAAAAGAGTGTTTAACACGAGTTAAGAAAAAGCGAGAAGAAGAAGACGATCGTAAACCGGGGCGTTTAGGTTCAATTAATATATCTGATAAGTACTTAGGAAATAATTTAGATTGAGACTTATACATGAACGTGCAAATTTTAAAAATTATTCTATATTTTATAGGTAGCCAGTGCAAGAGAACAAGATATGGAGATATATGAGAAAAGAAAGGGGCACGAGCAACTAGACGAGCAGCAGAGTTAAAAGCTTTACTTAAAGGATAGAGTATAGAGTCAGGAAGACCATAGTAGAGCGAGTTACAATAATCAATCCTAGATAAGACTAACGAAGTAACAAGAAGGAGAAGAGTAGGATCATCAAGAAAAGGCAAAAGTTTTTTTATTCTACGTAGATGAAAGTAAGAACTTCTAGCAACACTATTAATCTGAGAAGAGAGAGACATAGTAGAATCAAAGATAAAACCTAGACTACGAAACTTATGAGAGACATCAAGAGTTTTAGAATCAGGTAAGATAATAGGAGGAATAGTAATTGAGTGTTTAGATTTATTAAAACAAATTAATTCAAACTTAGAAGGATTAAGTTTAAGACACATAGAATCAGACCAAGCGATAATCGAAGAAAGACATAGAGATAAATTATGAAGAACACTATTGAGGCATGTACAATAATTTCAAGTTTTAAAAAACATTTGTTTGAACTTTGAAAACACAGACTAAATACTGAGAATATGTGTTACGATTTTGCTTTTTTCCCTTTTGTTTCAAGTAAATCAATTAAGTTGCTTATAAGTTTTTTTTGCTTGACAAAAAGCTAAAATATTTAAATCACTTTGAACTTTGAAAACACAGACTAAATACTGAGAATATGTGTTACGATTTTGCTTTTTTCCCTTTTGTTTCAAGTAAATCGATTAAGTTGCTTATAAGTTTTTTTTGCTTGACACAAAAGCTAAAATATTTAAATCAGTTTTCGAATAATTAAATTATATTTATGCAACCGTTTATGAACTGCTGATGCAAGCTTGCAGCCTCATGTAGATTATAAGCATTAGGTAGATGAAAACTCAGAGGCTCTCATAGGTTCCATTATTTGGAAGTGTTCTGAAGAGTTCTATCATTAAAGCGACGTTCTTCAAGCCGTTGAACTCTCAAATCGTTGTTATAACCAGTGTCAGAATCGGAAATTTTTTATTACCGGAGTCGGTTAGCAATCCACTGTGCCAACTGGGACATGGCAACATGGGCAACGAAGAACATTGCTGCTGATATTAAAGGTGTAGACCTGAAAGAAAAATATTTACCATATTAATGACAATAAAAACTGCTCATACTTCGAACAATTTCAAGAGATGAAGAGAGAGATATAAATACATTCTAGAGGCCGGGTGAAGATGATAGTGAGGACTACGACTTGCAAATTACCTGCTTTCTGGAAGACGCAATTGAAGGCTATTTGTTATTTAATATAAAATCTAGCATAGATGCATTTAATTGATTTATTAGCATTTTTAATTCTTTGTACTTGGTATTTGGCTGCGTGGTTGCCTTGCAGTTAAGGTCATCTGGTGCTGTTTCCCAGTGCAGACCTTAAGCATTTTTTTACCATGTCGAATTCAGGTTAAGATTATTAGTTCAGATTCAAGTTTTAGTTTTTTATATTGATTTCGTGCAATTTATTCGTTTAAATTCATAATTTCATATATTTATTCATTTTTCATAATCTTCTTTAATTCAGTTCTGTTGTGATTTTCACATGCGTATTTTCAGTATAATCGTTGCGTTATGTTAATCAATATATTTCAATTTTTAACAATAATTTTGTGGTCATAGTACTGAGCTTCGTAAGCATATATGCTTTATAGTAAAAGATTTTATTGATTTTACAAAATAAATACCCAAACTATTATTAAATTTTATATATTCGTCGAAGTATCTGATAAATGCTAAACAAAATTTTTGCAAATTATATGCAAAGACAAAATAAAATTAATATATACATTGAAATTATTTGTGATCAAGTAATTCCAATTATAATATTGTATAATAAATTATAATATAATATCATAACAAAAAAAAGTCACTAATCTCCACCCCACCCACCCAGCACAAATGTAGGCAATGTAGCCACTTTTTATTGGTCATCAAATGGAGAATGTGGACTGTAAGTTGAAGTAGTTTGTCTTTAACACCATTCTGAAGCTCATATCATTTTCCATAAAATTTTTGGCTTGTTTTGAATCAGTTTGTATTAAAAAATTATTTGAAATGAAATAAAATTTCTTTCCTTTCATTATGCTACTCTATATATCTACATTTATGAACGATAGTCTATAAAATATATGCATCAAATAAAAGAATAAGTCATGCATACAATCTGACTATCAATAAATATAAATAATTAAAATAATAATAATGGTCTTCTATATCAATGATAATGATTCATTTATTTAGAGTTGATCACTTTCTATTTCTACAATACTAGGGTTAAGCTGCGATAAATTTCGTTTATCAACATTTTTCAAGCAAAGCTCAGCAAACTCTCGAAAAATTGGTATGCCCATAAGTTTCTGAATTTCATCTCCCGGCTCTGTTGATTCATTTAAATGTTTGATCAAATCCTTCAAATGATTATTGGACAACATCAATTGCAATTCTTTAGACTTCCAAAGTTTTTCCAACTTTTCTTCATCAACTTTATCATCTTCAGAGTCGGTTTCGATTTCAACAGTGTTTAACAGCCCATTGGTTTCACGTTTAGCACTGGCACACGATGAAGTCAATGGCAGTGTGTGTTGCTGAAGTGATTCGGTGGGCTTGCTGCCACCATCATTACTTTTTACTTTTCCAAGCGCACACGAGTCTCTGTGTTGCTTGTAACACGACAACGAGCAGTACCTCAAGTAACATTTCGGACATTTATATTTTGATAAAATTTCACTGCACACACCACACATTGGGCTGCTCTCGTTGAACATCGCGAGTTATTTAAACAAAAAATAAGTTATAAAAAAAGATATTAAAACATTACAATAATATTAATATGTATTCCAATATGAATCATACAATATGATTAAAACGTGTAATCTGGCGGTCATCTACCGAGTTATAACGTTACATATATTATCGCTTTGCTTATGTAAACAAAAGAACCGAAAACTTGCAAAAATAAACTTAAATTCCCAAGTCTAACCCTGTATATATGACAACCCTGTAGTGCGTATATAAATTTGAAAACGTCCTAAACGATGCATAACAGAGGCGATAGGCCTGTATCCTTTTGTCATATTCGAACTCGGTCACTACTTAACAGAACTAGGCGAGGCGACCTTAACAACTAGGGAATCAGGCCACCCTTATGGAATGTAATAAGACAAACGCAACACGAAAGTTCACATCAATTTCTATGGGCAACTCAATGTTATTAATTATATAAAATTTTTCAATCTAATGCCAGCTGTTCCGTGATACTACTTGTACTTGGTTTTTGTTGTAGAATTGAATCAAGTTTTAAAGGTATATGTCAAACACCGATTTAAAGTACTTGTACTTGAGGAGACTCATGTACATGTACTAATAACTGTAATTTTGCCTCTGTTAAAAATTACCACCATTTTTTACTATCACTCCTTGCAGTCATCCTGTACCTATTTCTTTTGATCAAAAAAACGTGTATTGTGTATAGAAAAAATATATTGAATTTAACATTGTTACATCAACGCTGCAGAAACACGTGTCTCGGATACAGTTACACAAACATCGGCACAATTGCACGCACATATACAACACAACTCACCCGCCTACACAAATCTTACAAGGGTACTTATTGTACCAATAGTTTTCTCTACCAGAACTTTCGAAAACAAATGTATCATCTATTGAAAACATGGTAAGTGATCACAAAAGACTTTTCAAAACAAATTATTCATAAAGCTGTAAAGCAAATTTTGGAATATAACATCAAAAAGTTGAATTAAAAAATTTAAATGAAGCGTTAGTTACAACATACAGGCAAACAGTGATGAAAGGAAAGTTGAAATTGAATAAATTAGCAGCAGACCTACAATGACTTCCGCTGTTAACATCTCTAAGCATGCATATGCACTGAGGAACAGATCACTAAACCGTGTACAAAACTCAAGTTATTTTAAATTTAAATCATACGAACAGCATTAAAACAAACATGCAATCTTTACTAAACTAATAAGATTATCATTTTAGGCAAAAAAAATAACTTGAACTAAAAAGCTCATTTCACTAGCATTTCATTTTTAAACATAGTGAACAAAGCTTTCCACAACAAAATAAATGTGTTTGACACATTTTCAAAGCAACACCAACTAGAACTTGAAACAAAAATTAAGCACTAAATCATCAAGCTGCCTACCGCTGACATTTTATTGAGACCTTGCTGAAACTTTTGCACACCGGTTATCAACATACACCCCAAGAACAATTACTACAATTTACGCATTATAATATTTGAAGCACTCAAATTAAAACTAATAAACTAATATTACAAAATATACTCAATGGAACCAGTAGGTACTGCAAGATGTGATAAGAATTGAAACAGTTGAACATTTTCTTTCTTCGACACCACCCAGACAATAATGAACATCACCAATAATATTTTTTAAATTGTTCTTACGTTGGTACTGTACGGCTAATGTTGCTGAGCTCATCTCATTTTTAAATATTCTTTAGAAACGTTCAAAACAAAATGACATGAAGTTTTACAAACAAGAATTACATAAAACTACATTGGATGGTATTGTGCTTACGAGGAATTATAACAAAATGAAAAACCTAACGATTAAAAAAAAACAAAAAAATGTTCGACAGGCATTGATAAAACAACAGGAACCATGATTTTTTTTATCATGTAGTGAGCAATAAACTTTTCAATAAAAATTGATGACTAACAAAGTTATTTCGTGACGAGAGGACGACGGTGCATTGTATATGTTATTATTCATTCACACGGATCCGAACTCCGACATCCACTTTTCGTACTTCTCGAGGTCAGCGGCTGACACAGTTTTGCTAACGTGCTTCAGAGCAACCATCATGTCCTCCATTGTCGTTGGCGCCATCAGTTCTTCCTTCGGGATGTTTCGGATTTCATCTGGCTTCAGACCTTGGATTCGTCGACGCATAGACATCATGGCCGCATCTCTGTTCGCATCGTGTGAGTATTGGGATCATTTAAATGTTGTTAAGAACGAAACAGTGGATATATTGAAAAAATTTTAGTTAGTATTTCTAGATGAAGTGTTTGGTTTAAATGGTTGTTTTACAAAATCTGAGTTGATTGAGTCCGCAGACAGCTTAATCATTAGAATATATATCAATATATATGATTACTAATCATGATTAGTCTGTTTAAAGAAGTAGTTTGTATGAGAAAATATAATTACGTAGCTAAGTTATATAATTATTTAAAAAAAGAGAGACATTATAACTTTGCCACAGCCTTTCATCGCTTATTTAATGCGCACGAAACGTTAGAACACGTTAAAAATACTTAAAAACAGTTGTCCTAGAACCTTTTCAATTTTACAGAGCTTAACATGACTGTATTATAGCTAAACTGTATTGATATAACATTGATTGCTTGCTGTGGAGACGCTGAAATACATTGTCAATAAAAAATTTAATATTTGGCACAATGACTTTGTTAATTTAAATAAAATAAAATGTTCGACCAATTAAAATATATAGGAATCTATGTATTAATTATTTATAAAAATTTAGTTGAATAAAATAGAAAGTAGAGTTAAAAATTAACCTGCAGACGTTAGTTATGTCAGCACCAGAGTATCCGTCCAGCAGTTCTGCAATCTTGTCGAGGTCCACATCTTTGGTCAGTTCAATTTCTTTCAGACTGATGTCCAACAACTTCCTCCGTCCTTCGGCTGAAACAAATAAGATAGCCTCATTTCAAATACATGCATGCAGCAATAAAAAATCTAATAAATATATCAGATTTGACTTTTAATTAAAGTACATGCGAAAAAAACGAGTAGAGAAAGTAAATGAACCATTGGGTAGTGGGATGTAGATCCTCTTCTCCAACCTCCTTCTCAAAGCCTCATCAATGTCCCATGGGAAGTTTGTAGCTGCAAGTACCATGACAATTTTCGTGGGGTCCTCATCCAATCCTGTTGCCCCCGTCACTCCTGTTTGCAGTTCATTTTTAAAACATTTCACACTTATCTAAATGATGGTACAAGTTTAGAAGAATAAGCAAGTAAAAATCAGGACAAGTTTTATCAGAATTAAGTCTAAAAAACGTTGCAACCAACCATCCATCTGAATGAGGAGCTCTGTTTTGACTCTGCGACTAGCTTCATGTTCGTTGTCGGCACCTCTCCTGCCACATATCGAATCAATTTCATCAAAGAATATGGTGCTCGGGGCATAGAAACGAGCCTGTTACGTTCATACATCATTGCAGTTCAGATTTATGCATACATTTTGTAGTTTTTATTAATGAATCTATTTCAGATTGCAAAAAAATTCTTCTTCAGTATTGAATTAAATATAAATTATCATTTTTTAGCCACTATCAACAAACCAAAATAAAAATTTTATAGGAACTCTTAAAAATGGAAACATCGTTCAACAAGTAAATGAAAAATGTAAATAGTAACAAACCATTTCGAAAAGAAGCCTGACAAGTTTCTCAGACTCCCCGTGATACTTTGAAGTCAGGCCAGACGCCGACACGTTGAAGAATGTTGTACCACATTCAGTGGCGACTGCTTTTGCTAGCAAGGTTTTACCAGTGCCAGGTGGCCCAACCATCATGACACCCTGACAAAAGTTGACAAAATAAATAAATAAATAGAAGTTATGCGATCAATCTATTTTCATTTGTATTGTCATTTTTGAGACATTATGACATAATTTATTAAAGCACGTGAAGTTTAAAAAAATACAAATTATTAAAAATTTAAAGACCTTCCAAGGCCTTCTGATTCCTTTGAAGAAGTCTGGAACCAATAGAGGCATAACAACAGCTTCTTGTAGCAGTCGCTTGGCCTCTGTTAAATCAGCAATGTCGTCCCTACAAAAAATATATTGAGTTACTGAACACATGTGAATGATATAATCAAACACACTACATAATAATATTTGATGAGAAAATCAAATTAAAAAAAACAAAATTGTATGTATTGATACTAATCAATTTTAAACTAATCAAAACAAGTGCAAAGTGTCAACCAGTAAACTTTTGGATTTCTTTGCACAATATCTCGTTCCAAATTGGCCACCAAATCTTTATCATACCCAGAGGGGTTGAACTTATCAGGGTCTTCATCTGCTTTACTCTAATTAGAAAAAATAAAATAAAACAAGCATCAGTAAAAAATAATGAAACGCAAAATATCATTAAGCTTATTCAAAATAATACTGAATAAATACAGATGAAAAATTGTTAGAGATACCTTTGCAGCAGCCTTGCTACCTTTGGCAGCATAACCACCACCGACAGCACCACCAGCAGCAGCAGGTTTCTTGCCAGGGCCACCCGCACATGCACCCCCGAGATCACTTGGAACACTCTGCCGGGACCTTCCACCACGACTTGGAGGTTCAAAGCCTCTTCGAACTGGAGTTTTACCTCTGGCATTTGCCCCAAATCTATAAAGTGCGTGTTACAGGAAATGTTAAAATTAGAATCACTGAATCGACTTTTAAGGCACTCACAGATAAAAATAACATAAAATAAACATCATTTAAAGTGTCAGACACGTGCACTGCACACAAATCATTACACACGTTTCAATAGCATGTTTGAGAGAAAAATCTATTTCTTCAATACTGCTTTGGATGTTTTCATGTGAAATGTCATGATAAAAAATTATATGAAATGGCATGATGATGATGATGATGATGATGATGATGAAAAGGATTTTATAAAAAAAATTGTTTTTATTTCAGAAATGTGTTATACCATGATAACACGTATACCATGATAAAAATAATTATAGGAGTATTATGATGTTGATGACATTTTAATAAGTTTGAAAATGCTATTAATGTTAACAGACTTATGGGATTATATATTGGTTAAAACATTTTGGTATTAAAAAACAATGAGGAAAACTTGATACTTGTTTTCGACTGGAGTCGGTGGTGGCCACACGTCGGGGTCCCTGGTAGGTTCCTCAAAGGTAGGGTAGCATTCATTTTTTGAAGTTAATGGCGCATTCTTGCAAGCCACCAATGTGTTGCTTATGTCTTTCACAGATTCTAGTTCTACTGCTATTTCTTGTCGAATCTTTTAAATGGAGTAGAAAATTATTTTTAAATAATGTTTAAACAAATGTTTAAACATGAATAAAAAGAATAAATGAGTAATTAAATATCCTTAATTAAAACTAATATAAGTGGCAATGTTAGAAAAAGTTGGAATATTTGTCTGAAATGTTTTTGGCAATGTAAGTAACCCCAGTTTTTAAGTATTTCACCTGGTTCTTTGTCACACTAACTAAACTAAGCAATTCAACATTTAAATCAAGTATTACCACTATCAAAGAAGAAAAAAAGTCCTAAAATAATTCTTGCTAAACCAAAATAATAATAAACATATAATGTTAATTATATATTAATTAATGATAAATGAAAGTTTATATACCATTACTGTACATAACATTGCATACAAAACTATTACATTGAGCTCCTATTCCTAACTCTGACAGTCATGTTCCATAGACTTTACTTTTAATTTGAATAATATTATAATTATATTAATATTTTAATATTATAATTATATTAACATCTTTCTCACTCAATATAGAAAAAAAAAAATATATATATATATATATATATATATATATATATGTGTGTGTGTATGTATGTATACGTAGACTATAGTGGGGATTGAATCAAGAAAATGAAACTGTTTTAAACACATACATAGACCCAGTTCTCCGAGGTAGAACATTTTATAAACACATAGCCAGGTAATTTAATTAATTAAATGATAAATTTAATTAAATTAATAAATTATTAATTTTTAAAATGATTTCATTTTATTTTATTTATTAATCATTTACTTTTTTTAACTTTTTAACATCTTTCAACAAACAAGTATCATTTGTGATTGTAATTGTATTATTGTAACCAACAAAACCTTACTCACTTTTTGCCATTTAGATTTTAGACTGGCATCGGTGAGTGTTGAGATATACTTCTGGAGCTGACACAAAACTGTTTGGTAGTAGACCTGGGCTGACTCATAGTTGCCCAGCAGTGCTGATTCCCTGGACATCTTCACATTCTCGCAAATTTCGTTCAAAGACATTTTGCCTCGAAAGACGACGGGGTGAGAAGTCAAAAAATTAGTTTTTTGGTAATTACCTATTCAATCTGTTTTAATTCAATTCATTTAATGAAATTGTACACTCGTATTATCAATCACCAAGGAACAAAGCAGCAACACAACATCAACAACAACACAGCACTAAAAATAAAAGGCAACTCTAATTAAAAAGGGGGAAGATATTAATTTAATTATTCCATACATTCCATATTTGTTATATATTATAGCATGTGTTTGTTAACAAGATGTCCGTGTGTTGTGAGTAATTTAAAACGTTGAAACGTTGTTGGGATTGCAAAAATCGATAAATAAAGGTGAGATCGTCGTATGACCGCTGGACCATATTCAAGGTAGACAACACGCTGTATTCAAAAATAGAATTTCAATTTTCTTTGATGATCATATGATCTGATATTCTATATACTTGGATCTGACCACTTATTTAATGGCAATTTTAATGTATAATTCACGTTATTTAAAATGTAATCCAACATCAGTTGCTACATTTATAGCTACATAGTCACCTCTGATTTTGTTTGATGTTCTAGATAAAGAGGCTGATTTTGCCATAATTTGCTTAGCTTTATTTTACTTTTAATTAGTTGTTTAACTTGTAGATCAAGTTCTGACCATCATCAGGTTTTTCTTTACTAAATTGAACAGTAATCAATACCATGACTGATGATTTTATAGATAAAAACAAAATAAGTGCTTCCATATAATTGCCTTATTAAGCTTAATTACGAAAATATGCAACCACCTTTTTTTATGGAGTAACAATGTCAATTATAACATTTAAAAAGAAAACTCGTGTGACGAAAACTAAAAGAAGAGCAGCATAGGACGATTCCAGCCTAAATTTGCATGCAGAGCATTACGTTACAACATTTTGGATCCTGAATCATCTTCACGCTCATCAGTACATTTATGTTTAAAAGTTAATCTAGGTGAGTGTCTGTCATTTCATAATTTCAATTTCGGCAATTTGAAATTAAGATTAGGTCATGAAATTAAAATTAACATAAAGTCATAAAAGTACTCGTTTTCTGCTGCCATTTTGTTGACGGTTTAATTAGTTTTGCAAATTTGTTCATGTTAAAAAAATCTACAAAAGAAATTGTAGAAGTCAAATCTAAGAATTATTAATTATAAGAATATCAAATAAAAAAAAGCATTCAAACAAAATTCAAATAAAAAGCAAGAGACAAAAAAGTAAAAAGAACTTTTTCTCATTTTTTTTTATAACAAATAAAAAAATTGTTATGTATATGTAATATTTTTTATTTAGTTATTTTTGGACATAGCTATTTTATTTTTTTTTATAATTTTATATGATTGATTATTTTACTACAAATAAAAAAAATCTTCTTTCTTTTATATTTAACAGTACTTGTTATTTTGCCAACTAATAGAAAACAGATTTAATCTTCATTCTTTACTCTTCACTGCATTAGAAGCCTCAGTCATGTATTTTTTAATTTATGTTGTCTTTTTGTAAATTTTTTATCAATTTGTTTATTTTATTCATAATCAGTTAAATTAAAAAATCCATAATTTTTTTTTTAAATTGGGTAAAACAAGCAAATCTGCACTTACCTAAAAAACATTGTTTAGTGTAGAATAAAGATAAAATAAAGAAAATTAATAAGTTTAGTTAGGATATTAATGATTTATATATTTTTTCATGTTTTTATGTTGCTAGTTTATAATTTTATAGACAAAATGATGGAAAACGATAATGAGAGTGAATCATCGGCTAAGAGATGCAGAGTAGATGGTGATGACAACTTCTTCAATCATTTGTTGAATAATTTCAAATTGGTGTCGGTTCTGAATGAAGATGCCCAACAGAAGACATTATATTTGCATGGGAGGTGTGCAGATGAGGAAGATGGTTAGTTGGATTTTTAAATGATTCTGAATTCTTGTCAATAAATTTTCAGGTCATTTCGTTATTAGATTTTGAAAATAATATAGTCACTTTAATATATATGAATATAATATACATATATTTTTAAAATTTTCTCAATGTTTTAATTAGTTTTAATATGATATATTTTTTGCAAATGTACTACAGAAAACGTTGTTGTTATACTGGAAAGAACTCCACTGACAGAAGATCTGGTGGACGATATAATGTCACCTGCAACAGATTATTCAATTGAAATGAAGAATGATATCTACACCTCACTTCGATTGTTTCCCAAAGTTTCAGCTGGAGGTAAGCCTGATCTTCCAATCCAACTTTCAAATGTTATCCTAAATGCTTAATTTATTATTATCAACGGGAATCAAATTTAAACTGTTCACTTTTTATTTCACATAGACACTTAACAAATAAACAACTTTAAATAATTAACATTTATGTATTCCACAACTTCATTATAAAACATGAAATGTAACGTGATAATAGTTTTGTGCATCACAACACATCACAACACAACACAGCATCACGTCTTAATTAAAACCATCTTGCTCATCGTTTGTTGTAACATCATCAACATACACACACACACACACACATACACTATACAAACAAACAAATCAGCATTGACTTTGAGATACACACATGCACACGCCACACACACACACACACAGACACACACTAACACACACACTATACAAACAAACAAACAAATCAGCATTGACTTTGAAATACACACGCCACACACACACACACATACACACACACACACACTGTACAAACAAACAAGCCAAACAAACAACGTTCAAGCTTTGAAGTCGACAGTCATCCATCCAGCCACAGAGAAGCATATAAACAAATACAAACAGCATGCAGTGTTCTGTGTCAGGGAGACAGCATCTGATTATAACAACATCACTCTTCCATACATCACTTCATCCTCTTTCAGCTTGCAGGTTTATCACATTTATCGGCTTCATCATCACATTTATCATCCTTATAATCAAGTTTGTCTTTTATCACCATAAGGTTTGCTATCACATTAATCTATCTACTTGTGCTGTTTGTAATCGTTGTGTGTTTTTTCCATTTTATTATTAAAACCTAAAATGCCACCTGTCTGCCATTCGTTTGCTACCTTTGTTTTTCACAAATTTTTTCGTGGAATTAATAATTTTGAAAATGTCTGCCTATCATCAATAGTAGTAATTATATTTATAATAATAATAATAATAATTATTATTATTATTATTATTATCATAGCTATTGTCATTGTTGATTTTTTGTTGTTTCTTGTAAATTGCACCACATTTCACTGTAGATGCTCTTAGTGTTCTTATGATATAAACTTCTGTAGTTTCTGCAAAACATAAAAATCTATTTTATAAAAATTGCACTGTTCAGTTAATGACTGTGTTGCACAATTAAAAGTTGGGCACCAACAACCTTAGAAATAGTTTTAAAATATCTTAGGCAAATGATTATGCCAGTCAGTTTAAAACGTTGAGATCTGTAATAACAGAAGTTAATGAACATTGCGTTCAATGTATGAGAGTTTGCATGAGAATTACAAACATCGGTTAATGTAAAATTTGGTCATTTTTGAATTTACAATCATCAGTGGCTGTATAATCTCCTGGCCAAGAAAGCTGAGGTGGATAGAATTGTGTATGAAGATGACGATCAAGTTAACGGTTTGGTTGATCATTCATTTTTGTTTCTTAAATTTGTTTAACATGTTTTTTACAATCTTGGCAAACATCTATGAAACTTTTTAAAGCAAAAACAAGGCAGAATAAGAAATAATTAGGTTATGATAACAACCCATGTTGGCAGGCTTCATGTTGGTGCCAGATTTGAAATGGGACTGCAAGCAGACGTCCAACCTCTACCTGTGCGCCGTCATTCACAGGCGAGACATCAAGTCCATCAGAGACTTGAGGGGAGAGCACGTCCAACTTCTCGAAAACATCAGAGATAAGGGAAAGGTATTTCGTCCCGTTTGATTTTAACAAATCTATTGAAACTTCATGAAACGTTCAGTTGGTTTATGTCACACACACACACACACACACACACACACACACACACACACGCGCGCGCGCGCGCACACCTAATTTGTGATTCAATATTTTTGCATCACTACACTACACGCCTTCCTAATGGCTAATTAAATAATGTAGAAGTCAACATTTAACATTATTGAATGCTACTTTTATACCATACAGCAATGAATTTACCATTGTTTGAATAATTGAATTGGGAGTTCCATTTATTAATAATAATTTTAAAGAATGTATCAATATGACTTTTATCTTACTCGATAGTATTTTACAAATGAAAAAAGTTGTAAGATTAACATGAAGAAATAATTACTAGCAAGCTATCAGGGAGAAGTACCAATTCAATGTTCACAAACTGCGGATCTACTTCCACTACCAGCCGTCCTATTACCACCTCCATGTTCACTTTGCAAATGTTTCCTATAATTCGCCCAGCTGCACCCTTGGTTAATTATTATCTTTCATTCATTTCTTTTTATTGTTTATATCTGATGGTTTGTACCTATTCATCCTTATTACGCTTCCGAGTTGTGTGATTTTTCCAAGATCCACAAGTCTATTTGTTGTAAGATACCATGAATTGTTAGGTATCTAATGTCTGATGAGATATATAACAATAAGATGTGATCTCTTGATGTCTTGGATGCACATCTGTCAAATGAAATCATGTTTAAAAACGCCTTTAATGTCACTCAATTGATAATTTCGGTCACTAGTCTTATAGTTAATGTTATTTATATTGCCAATTTGTTTGTGTTGTCTTAAAGTTTTTTCATGTTTTATTTTGTTACAGTGTTATTGGGTTTATAGTTTTGTTGACTCATTTTAATATCATTCTCATCAATTTAACAGGAAAAGCTCATGCCATCGATGATGTAATTGATAATTTAAAAATGGATTCAGATTATTACTCGAAATGCTCTCTGACATACATATTGAAAGAAAATGACCCTTTACTGGAGAAGTTCAAAGAAGCTGGCAGGTGTTTCGATTGAAATTGGGATGCTAACATTCCAGTATTAAAATTGGAATTTAATGTTAACACAAGCAATTTTCAATCATCAATCATTGAACTATTTTTAGAACAAGTTATTAATTATGTAGTTTTATATTTTATAGTCATCGGTATCACATTTACATTGAATAAGATCTCTTTTTTGAATATTTTACTAATTATGCGTTACTAAAAAAATGTATTCAAGAATTCATACTTGAAACTCCATTCACGGCATTTGTTGGAAATATGTCAGGCCATCACGTTAACTAACCAATGTCCTGACCCCTTTAAAAATAAACGTTAGTGTCACGGCTTGTATATAAACTGGGGTATAGTCTTATATATAGAATATATATACTGTATCGAATGCATATATGCCCTATATATATATGGGTTGGGTATAGCTTTTGAATATTGAGCTGAAGAAATCAGTCATACATTAGAAATTGTCTTGTAAAATTGTAATTTTAAAAGTATCGCGTGGATTTGATTCAAGCGCTCTGTTGGTGTGACGACATAGTACATGTTAAATTAACCGAGCTGATCTCGGGGTGATGATAAATGTAAAGAACACCTATTCAAATGATTATTTGCTGCTAGAATGCTTTGGAAAGAGTTATAAGAACTGGTTTTTTGACGATAAGAATAATAAACGGTTTTATTAACTATAAATATTAATAAATAAATGAAGACCAGCCGAGCTTGTTGTGGTTTTTCAACAGTGATTACATATATGATAGCAGCAGTATTATAAATTAATTGGATGAATGTTTAGATAGCTTGGCGGAAAATTAAACAATTCTGTTGCTTACAAAAAGCTTGGTTGGCAGATTTTTATAACAACGTCCTACCTCGGGAGAACTGGGTCTCTGGACGCTAAACGAAGATTGATTGATTGATTGATGTTGAACATCTCATTTTTTAGCACGTAATGAAGTTAACTAGTAACCTAAGCAAAAGTTTTGAGTTTTAATAATTATTTCAAAAACCTTTTAAAAACTGGGAAATTTTGTCTAGAGTCGAAAAGGAAGAAACAAGAAGATGTTACACTTGTTTTTCATGTAGTTCAATAGGTGGATAAGTACGAAATGTTAAACGTTTCAAATATTAAATTAAAATATTAAAAATATATTTATAAATATATTTTTATTTTTTATATATTTTAAATATGTTAAAATATTATTACAGGTTTTATATAATATATAGCGTTAACCCGTTAAAACCTTATACCTTTAACCCTATTAAAAACTGGTAGCAGTAAATAATAGAAAGGATTATAGGATAAACTATATAACAAATATAAATTATATAAAACATTATTATATAATAAATTATATCTTAGTTTGTATAAACATTCAGAATACGTTATCATGAACCGAAACCATTCAATTGTCGTTTAGAAAGTTAGAAACGGCTATTTTAGATCATATTTTAAATTGAACTAACACGTTAATTTACAAGTTCTAAAAGTCTGCTAATTGCACGTTTATAAGTATTGAAATGGATTTATAAGCAGGAAGCATCATAATAGTGAAACAATGTAGAAAAATATTGAATGGTCGATCGTTTTTTACTTGAAGATTATCTCTTGTTGATCCATTCAATAAAATCATCGACCGCACCGTTCGGCTCAGTGAACAGCTGGTGGTATCCGTCTTCATATTTCTGCTCAATTAATCAGTAATGTTATCCAGTCAACAACTAATTCGATTTAATAAAAGTTCAAGTGTCTAAGTTATATTATTAAACAATGGCCTCGAACTTCTTTGCCGCATGCATGTCTAAGTTTTCTTTCAGAAATTATTTAAACAGCTTTTCTACTTTATTTTTTAACAGATTGTGAGAGATTTTTTTTCCTATTTAATTTCATTGCTGAAAAAAAAGGTTGGCAAATTATGCAAACTTTGAAAGTTTTATCTTCAGAAGAAGCAGTTTCAAAAAACATTTGCGACCCCTCGATGCTGCATATCTTGTCACTGGTCCCGTGCATTAGGAGGAAGGCAATTTTTACTTCCTTCATTCTGCTGTTGATCTCACCGCATGCCTTCATCGAACATTTCATCAACCTGGACGATGGACAAACAATATTTCGTGAAGATATTACAAGACGATCGTCCAAAAACTTTTCCATCCATGTTAAGGAAAATTGAGCGTGTTTCTTAAATTGCAAAAATCTTACCCACCCAGCTGTAAGTTTTCCAGTCCAAATCAAGTCATCTTTTTTGTATTTTTCAATCTAGTTAAAATATATATCAGTTTGACCTATTATTATTATACAATTATGCACCGACACACACATCACACATATTTTTTTATCTATTTATTTATTCATCCTTTAATTTTAATGTTAATTCTTATTTTTGAAATTTGATTTTTTATTAAAATGCAGAAGTAAAAATCTTGCCAACTTCCCCCTTGTCTTTCACAATGTCCTCGACATTGATGTACACGACGTGTGCTCGCGGATAAACAACGGATACCAGCTGATACCAAAGCATCTGGTGTTTGTTGCAAAATGAAACAAATGAAACTAGTTTTTTAGAAGAAGCAGCATTTGGACAGTCAAAAATTATACACCATGTTAAAGTTACATTTCTATTCGTGTTACATGTTCCCAGGTCTTATTAAAACAATGATAGTACGTATGGATCTAGATAAGCTTGAATTTACTTTAATAATACAGTTAAATTTTAAATTGTTTTCTTCTCAAAACGACTATTTTACAAATGAATTAAAACCAAACCTACTTATAAGTGCTGGCATAAATTACTTTGAGTTGATGTTGAACTTTGTATTGATAAAGATTTTTTTATTACATAATACAATATCGCAACGTATTGTATATATTGGGCCATTCAAATTGATGGTGCTTATGAACGCGCAAAAAAAGCAAAGAAGAGAAAATATAAAAAGTTTGTTAAAGGGAAAGTAGATTTTTGAAAATTTATGAAAATTATTCGCCGGTAGTTCATTGCGTCAAATGCTTACAATAATATACATTGCAATGTCTACATATATAATAATTATTATATATTAATGATTGATATATAAAAAGTTTATAAACTCCGACCACCGTCAATATGGGAGCAAAATTTGTGAGGATGATAGCTGGGGCGATTAAGACGATCCCACTGATGAGCTGAGGAATTCTCAGTGCCGTCAGAATGGTCATCGACCCTCCCTTGGTGAGAATATTTTTGAATTATTTTGACTTGTCTGAAGTATTAAACTGATGGATTAACTATTTGTTTGTAAGGTTTGTCGATCTACCAAACAAATGTTATTAATGTGTTATTGGTTAAATGATGCTCAAAACAAATGATTAAATAATAAGAAAATAAAAAATATGAAAGTACATAAGTGCAAAACATCAAACACCAAGCCAATAGATTACTGCGTGGATATATATGATATATATGTTATATCCATTGGTTAATGTTTGAATGTATTGAATGTTACGCGAAAAATTGACCTTTTAAGTTTGATCATGCCATATTTCGTACTAGTTAAATAGTTGATTGAAGATTAAAACATTTAAACTTTGCCAATGAATTACTTACTTTATGTTGAGTTAAACAGTTTTTGTTAAAAAAAAGCTTCAAAATGCATTTGATGTGTGGAGTAAAGATTTTCAAAAAATTTACAAAGATCATTTACATTTATACCTTCACTAAGGTTATTCATTATTCATTCGAAATTATTCATTTATTACATTTAACAAAAATAACATGTAAATTTGATACAGTACAACTTTTAGTTTTAGCTTAATTATGCCAACAAAATTTGGATAATGAATAAGCTCAAACGGTTGAAGTACCAAGTCTCGGCTTATTCTTATAGCGCAACAACCTAGTTCAATTCCCATCTGTCCGAAACTCCAAACCATCATAAGCTTTGTGCATAAGTACAAACGCGAAAGACATGTGGTGCGAATATACAGTCAGCCATTGTTACACACGTTTAATTGCATGTAGGCGATATGTAAGAGTAACAGGAAAGGGCCATTGAACGAACCATGGAGTATCCTATGATGAAGCAGGGAATGTCACTGTACTCCTTCTTGATTTTCTCAATGTGGTCAATGATGTCATCGACAAAAATGTTAAAGTCTTCAATGTACACTCGTTGGCCCTCACTTTTACCGTGTCCAGCTGTATTAATTATTGCAGATTTTAGGCGTGACTACATTTTTGCAATTCAAGCCGTTCAATTGAAATTAAAATAACATGATAAATAAACATAACATCCAATCAATCAATCAATCAATTAGTTTATAAAGCGCTATTTCCGCGATGTTCAACAGCGCTCCTCAATGAATTTTGAAAACAGATGGGTCTTGAGATCCGCTCTAAACTTCGCAAGTGATGGAGAAGTAGTCAGAGAAGTAAGTAGAGAGTTCCAGAGAAAGGGACCAGAAAAAGCAAAAGCAGATTTGGCAAAAGAGTTTTTAACGCGAGTTAAGAAAAAGCGAGAACAAGAAGACGATCGTAAACCGGGGCATTTAGGTTCAATTAATATATCTGATAAATACTTAGGAAATAATTTAGATTGAGACTTATACATGATGTGCAAATTTTAAAAATTATTCTATATTTTATAGGTAACCAGTGCATAAGAACAAGATATGGAGATATATGAGAAAAGAAAGGGGCACGAGCAACTAGACGAGCAGCAGAGTTAAAAGCTTTACTTAAAGGATAGAGTATAAAGTCAGGAATACCATAGTAGAGCGAGTTACAATAATCAATCCTAGATAAGACTAACGAAGTAACAAGAAGGAGAAAAGTAGGATCATCAAGAAAAGGCAAAAGTTTTTTTATTCTACGTAGATGAAAGTAAGAGCTTCTAGCAACACTATTAATCTGAGAAGAGAGAGACATAGTAGAATCAAAGTTAAAACCTAGACTCCGAAACTTATGAGAGACATCAAGAGTTTTAGAATCAGGTAAGATAATAGGAGGAATAGTAATAGAGTGTTTAGATTTATTGAAACAAATTAATTCAAACTTAGAAGGATTTAGTTTAAGACACATAGAGTCAGACCAGGCGATAATTGAAGAAAGACATAGAGATAGATTATGAAGAACACTATTGAGATTAGATGGAGGAAAACAAGTATAAATGTAACATAGAATTCTACCGTGATCATGAGCAAATACGAAATTGTTGTTTTGAGCCAGTTTGATAGCGATCTCATCAAATGTTTGGCAGTGCTCTGACGCTCCATGTGCTATGAACACTAAATGCCTGCAGGCAACATTTGAAATTATTTACAATTTATTACCTTTATAATTAAATAAACAAAACAACGGTGAAAATACTCATATAATTGAAACATAAGACATTATCCAATGTTAAACAACACAGCCTCATTTATTACATACTATTAACTACTAAACAAAACCACTAAATTTAATTTCAACGTTTGTTTATTGATTTGTAAACAGTGTTATTTAATTTAATTTTGAAAATCAACTGATTCCTGAAAAATTGAAAATAAAATCATGAATATTAATGGCAGAGATCAGAGGTATCAAAAACTAAAGTTACAAAATCTCATGTTGCAAGTGCAAGTCTGAAGTAATGTTTTATAAAATATAAATCTTATGACGAGAGTTAAATATAAAAAAAATGCAATCATATGAAATTTCAAAGAATTGTGAGTTGAAATAAATAAATGAAACCTTCGTAAACTCATTAAAATTTGATAATATTAATAAAATGTACTTCGGTTTCTCTTCGTTCTTCTGAACAGGCTTCCAATACTTGCAGAAAAGTTTGTGACCATGCCTGCTCTGAATAAAATCATCCTTCACATCGATATTCATTGTACTTGGTAGTTGACCCGTTTAGTAACAGTCGCTGACCTGTTTGGTAGCTGACCTTTTTAGTAGCTGATCTATTTGGTAGCTGACTTGTTTGGTAGCTGACTTGTTCGATAGTTGACTTGTTAGACGGAAAAACTGATAACAGCTCGAACTATGTAGTTTGTTATAAAACTCCGTTAAAAACAAAAGCAACGAAATTGAAAATGGCGAAATAGAAATAGCATTTAAGTAGCATAAATAGACAGACGTTTATATTGATGTAAGTTATGATAAATTATGATAATAATATAGCACACAAGTGCGCTCTCATTCACTCACATACACAAACTAACACACACACACAAATATATACTCACACACTCACGAACACACAACACAGATACAAACATATATAAACACAGCACATACATTCGTTAGATGAATAAATAATTTGATTCTCATGTTAGTAAGATTTATTTTTGAAATTCCACAGACGAAGACAAAGAGCTCATCCGACATACACATATCCAACTATGCATGCATACATGATGATATTAATTATATAGATATTATACTTCAAAACATTAATACAGGCAAGCTTACAACAACCACAACATAACGTCATACATATCTACACGTTCTTGTGCGAAAGACACTTAAAAACACTAGCTGCATAATAACAGCTGAATAGATGCGATAAACTTATCGAGCTATGTGTACATTATACAAATAATTTTCGTCTATTTGCCCATCAATTAAACGACACAACATCATTTTGACCATCTGTTAACCATTTCACTGAAGACAAGAATCCCTTTTTATATCAATGAATCATCTAACTTGTGATCTCATGATGTCCTAGATGTACAATGCCTCAGATGCAGTCATATTTTAAAACGCCTAATAGTTTCACTTTTAAATTTTGATAAAAACTTTTAAATAATATTTATCACTTGAAAAAATGTTGATGTATTTTTTCTTCTTTCTCGTATTTATACGTACACAGTATACAAACTGATAGTGACCAGTGGCAAATGTAGGCATTTTCAGAATCCGACATTGTTATATTGAGAGCGTTTAAAATGTTTTGTTTTTTCTTGTTGGCGAAACATTAAACAATTCTGTTGCTTACAAAAAGCTTGGTTGGCAGATTTTATAATTGGTAACAACGATGACCATGTTGAACATCTCACTTTTTAGCGCGTAATGAAGTTGATTAGTAATCAAGCAAAAGTTGTGAGTTTTAATAATTATTTCAAGAACCTTTTAAAAACTGGGAAATTTTGTCTAGAGTCGAAAAGAAAGAAACAAGAAGATGTTACACTTGTTTTTTATGGATAAGTACGTAATGTTAAACGTTTCAAAAATTAAATTAAAATATTAAAAATATATTTTATAAATACATTTATATATATATTTAAAATGTTAAAATATTATTAAAATAGTTTATTCAGAAAGTTAACCCTTTAAAACCTTATACCTTTTACTCTATTAAAAACTGGTAGTAGTAAATAATAAAAAGGATTATAGGATAAACTATATAACAAATATAAATTATATAAAAAATTAATTTTAAAATAAATTAAATCTTAGTTCGTATTAACATTCAGAATACGTTACCATGAACCGAAACCATTCAATTGTTGCTTAGAAAAGTTTAAACGGCTATTTTAGATCATATTTTAAATTGAACTAACACGTTAATTTACAAATTCTAAAAGTCTGCTAATTGCACATTGATAAGTATTGAAATGGATTTATAAGCAGGAAGCATCATAATAGTGAAACAATGTAGAAAAATATTGAATGGTCGATCGTTTATGAATATTATCTCTTGTTGATCCATTCAATAAAATCATCGACCGCACCGTTCGGCTCAGTGAACAGCTGGTGGTATCCGTCTTCATATTTCTGCTCAATTAATCAGTAATGTTATCCAGTCAACAACTAATTCGATTTAATAAAAGTTCAAGTATCTAAGTTATATTATTAAACAATTGCCTCGAACTTCTTTGTCGCATGCATGTCTAAGTTTTCTTTCAGAAATTATTTAAACAGCTTTTCTGCTTTATTTTTTAACATATAACAGATTGTGAGAGATTATTTTTCTATTTAATTTCATTGCTGAAAAAAAAGGTTGGCAAATTATGCAAACTTTGAAAGTTTTATCTTCAGAAGAAGCAGTTTCAAAAAACATTTGCGACCCCTCGATGCTGCATATCTTGTCACTGGTCCCGTGCATTAGGAGGAAGGCAATTTTCACTTCCTTCATTCTGCTGTTGATCTCACCGCATGCCTTAGCCACACATTTCATCAACCTGAACGATAGACAAACAATATTTCGAGACGATATTATAAGACGATCGTCCAAAAACTTTTCCATCCATATTACGAAATTCTGGTGTGTTTCTTAAATTGCAAAAATCTTACCCACCCAGCTGTAAGTTTTCCAGTCCAAATCAAGTCATCTTTTTTGTATTTTTCAATCTAGTTAAAATAAACATAAGTTACATAAGTTTGATTTATTGTTATTTATACAATTATCCACAGACACACACATATCACTCATTTTTTTTATCTATTTTTTATCAATTTTTCATTTTGTTTGGGTATTTATCTAAAATATTTTGCTAAATTTCATTTCTGATATTTTTTGTATTAAAATGCAACAAAATGTAATGTGCAGAAGTGAAAATCTTGCCGACTTCCTCCTCGTCTTTCACCATGTCTTCCGGTTTGATGTCCACGACATACGCTTGCGGATATACAACGGATACCAGCTGATACCAAAGCATCTGATGTTTGTTGCAAAATGAAATAAATGAAAATTTAAATCGATGAAAATTATTCGCCGACAGCTCTGTGGGTCAAATGCTTACAACCACATACAATTTCATTGCAATGTAAATATATAATAATAATTTATATATAAAAAGTTTATAAATTCCAACAACCGTTAACTTGGGAGCAAAATTGTTGATGATGATAGCTGGGGCGATTAAGACGATCCCGCTGATGAGCTGAGGAATTCTCAGTGTCGTCAGAATGGTCATCGACCCTCCCTTGGTGAGAATATTTTTGAACTATTTTGACTTGTCTGAAGTATTAAACTGATGGATTAACTATTTGTTTGTAAGGTTTGTCGATCTACCAAACAAATGTTATTAATGTGTTATTGGTTAATTGATGCTCAAAACAAATGATTAAAAAATAGTATACACCAAATAAAAAATATGAAAATACATAAATGCAAAAACCAAACACCAAGCCAATAGGTTAATGTTTAAATGTATTGAATTCAATTCAATTCAATTGAGTTCAATTCCCATCTGTCCGAAACTCCAAACCATCATAAGCTTTGTGCATAAGTACAAACGCGTAAGACATGTGGTGCGAATATACAGTCAGCCATTGTTACACACGTTTAATTGCGTGTAGGCGATATGTAAGAGTAACAGGAAAGAGCCATTGAACGAACCATGGAGTATCCTATGATGAAGCAGGGAATGTCACTGTACTCCTTCTTGATTTTCTCAATGTGGTCAATGATGTCATCGACAAAAATGTTAAAGTCTTCAATGTACACTCGTTGGCCCTCACTTTTACCGTGTCCAGCTGTATTAATTATTGCAGATTTTAGGCGTGACTACATTTTTGCAATTCAAGCCGTTCAATTGAAATTAAAATAACATGACAGATTAACATAACATACAACTCTACCGTGATCATGAGCAAATACGAAATTGTTGTTTTGAGCCAGTTTGATTGCGATCTCATCAAATGTTTGGCAGTGCTCTGACGCTCCATGTGCTATGAACACTAAATGCCTGCAGGCAACATTTGAAATTATTTACAATTTATTACCTTTATAATTAAATAAACAAAACAACGGTGAAAATACTCATATAATCGAAACATAAGACATTAACCAATGTTAAACAACACAACCACGTTAACTACGAATAATTTACTACAAAACAATGAAATTTAATTTCAACGTTAATTTATTGATTTGTAGGCAGTGTGCTGTAATTTCATTTTAAGAATCAACTTATTAATGAAGAAATTGAAAAAAAAACATGAATATTTATGACAGAGATTAGAGATATCGAAAACTAAAGTTACGAAATCTCATGTTGCAAGTGCAAGTCTGAAGAAAAGTTTTATAAAATATAAATCTTATGTCGAGAGTTTAATATAAAAAAATGCAATAAAGTGAAATTTCAAAAAATAGTGGGTTGAAATGAATAAATGAATAAAACCTTTGCAGACTTATTAAAATCTGATAATATTAAAAAAAGTACTTCGGTTTCTCTTCGTTCTTCTGAAAAGGCTTCCAGTACTTGCAGAAAAGTTTGTGACCATGCCTGCTCTGAATAAAATCATCCTTCACATCGATATTCATTGTACTTGGTAGTTGACCTGTTTAGTAGCAGTCGCTGAGCTGTTTGGTAGCTGACCTTTTTAGTAGCTGATCTGTTTGGTAGCTGACTGGTTTGGTAGCTGACTTGTTCGATAGCTGACTTGTTAAACGGAAAAACTAAAAACAGCTCAAACTATAAAGTTTGTTATAAAACTCCGTTAAAAAGAAAATCAACTAAGAATAATGAAATACAAGTACAAATAGCATTCATGTAGCATAAATAAACAGACGTTTATATAGGTTAAGAGAGATTATGAGAATATTATAGCACACAAGTGCGCTCTCATACACTCACATACACAGACACAAACACACACAAATATTTACACACACACTCACATACACACAACACAAATATATATACGAATGTATGTATATTCGTCATAGAAATAATATGATTCTCATGTTGATATTTATTTTTTGAAATTGCACAGACAAAGACAAAGAGCTCATCCGACATATACATATCTGACTATGCATGCATACATGATGATATTAATTATATAGATATTATGCTGTATACTTTAAAACTTTAATACAGGCAAGTGTGCAACTACCACAACAAAACAAAAACTTCTTGTGCGAAAGACACTTTAAAACACTAGCCGCATAATAACAGCTGAATAGATGGGATAAACTTATCGAGCTATGTGTACATTATACAAACAATTATCGTCTATTTGCATATCAATTAATCGACATAATATCATTTTGACCATCTGCCATCTGTTAACCATTTCACTGAAGTCAAAATATCTTTATATCAATATCGGTATTTACACCAATGCACCATCTGACTTTTTTTTTATTGTAAAATGGTATAGAAACCACCTACATGATAAATTAATTTGAAACAAGATACTTTTTCCATTATCTAGCATTCAGTCTTTTTTTATTTTATTTTTCAGTTTTACACAAAAAATGTAAACTTCCGAATAGAAATTGAAAACAACAGTCGAATGACACCAAACTACAGACATATTACGTAAGCTAATGACAAATTTAATTAATTTCAATCGCCGTACTGACACCCAATCTGAATACCAAAACAAGTGCATGCCAGTTAGGCGTTTTAAACGATTAAAAGTAACAAAACACGACGAAATGAAAAAATCAATAAAAACTTTTGCGAAGCGGAACAGTGGTGTGATAGCACGGGATAAATAACAACACCTGGAAAGAACATAACACTTTCCACTGGTGAGTAGGAGCGTTCATGTAGCATAAATAAACAGACGTTTATATAGGTCAAGAGAGATTACGATGATGATGAAAACGACGATGATGATAATTTACTCATTCATTCAGCCAGCCCTAACGATTTGATGTTTGGAAAAAATTTGAAGGTTTCCAGGTTTCATTTACAAATCGAATCAAATATTATTTTAAATTAATAACTTATGAAATTTAAAAATAAGATCTCTGACTCTTCATGTAGAATAAATACTCTTCCAGAACGATAATAAGTTATTATAATTTTTATTTCAAAACATCCGATCAATGATTCCAATTGAAAAACAAATTAATGATTAATTCGTTGTTCATCTGTTGTTGATCCACTGAATGATGTCACTGATGACGTCTTCTCCTTCAGTGAACAACTGATGGTACCCTCCTTCGTATCTCTGAGGTGCGAGTATTTCTTTAATTCATATTCCACTTTTTATGTCAATCAACACTGATTTATTTCATTTCAACGTTATGACTATTAATCGATGCCGTCTAAAGGAAAACCACTTCGTGAAAAAATAAAGAAAATATATTTAAATTTTGTTCTTATCATTTTCTGAGCTCTACATGGGGATTATGTATTTTCTACATGTATTTCCTATAAGTATTTCCTATATGTCCTATATGTATTTCGTATAATTTTGCATGATCATTTTTCCACTTAGGCAGTTTTCACATATATATGTATATTTTTCCATTAATGTTTGTGGCTAGGAAACTATATCCTCCACATCCCGGTGTCCGTGGTAATAAAAAGTTTCTTTTTTTCTCTCTCTTTCTTTTTTCTTCGCAATTGTACAAATAGGCAGGTTTAAGCCGTAAGTTGAGCTTATTAAATACATAGGTAGGTGAGTTAATTTAATCAACTTAGGAAAGTTAAGACTCTACTCTTTCATTCCACTTTCCTATGTGTAGTTTTTCTTGTTTTATTTTTAACACAACAATCGAACACAATAAATAAATTCCACCCGACCAAAAATTATATAATTGCCATTAATATTTTAACTATATTATTTTTTCAAACTTAAAACAAATTTAATAAATTTTACTATAATATCGTTACGTCTAAATTAACGTTCGTTGAACATGAACAGTTGTTTTCATTAAATTATTAACACTACGATATCTTGAACCAAAAAATTTTATGAATCATACAGACCTTGAAAGTTTTATCTTCAGAGGAAGAAAGATCAAAAAACTTTTGCGATTCCTCAATGTTACACGCCACATCATTGCTTCCATGCATCAGGAGATAAGGACATTTTATTTCTTTCACCATGCTAGCCTCGAAGGCTTTCCTAGCACAATTCAAAAATCTGTAACGAAATAGTGATAATGTAATTTTCTCAAAATCCTCATTGACTTTTACATTCTGCTAATTTCATTCTTAGGTTCAAAATGTTACCTATTTTCTATTGATTATTGTTAACCGATTGTTTTTCATGCTTTCAACTTCTATATAAAAACTTTTTTGCAAATTTTTGCAACATTCAAGGAATTTTAGTTTTAACGAACAATTTTACGTTTGCAATCATTCTTTAAACTATACAAAAAATTTAGTTTACACAACAAATATAAAGTAAATAAAAAATGATTTTTCTTAGATTATAATCTACTTACTGCTTGAATTAATTTTATTATTGAACAAATTAATCTTACCTAGCTGTGAATTTACCTTTCCAAATCAATTCATCTTCTTTGTATTTCTTAAGCTGTTTGTTGGTGTACACAATTTTAAAATATTTATTAGTACCGTAGGTTTGAATTAACGTTCTACTAAACAACAAACTCTCTTGCGTTCTGCTTTTGATCTAAAATTACGCGTCATTTGAAAAAATTAAGTTTAGTTAATGAGAGAATGCAGCCGTCTAACAATACAATTTTGGCAAAAATTCAGATGTGGTTCGTTTAACAGGGTTCCACTTCATACGGTTGATATTATTACAGAAATGTATTGAAAGATCGGTCAACAAATCATTTTCAGTTTTAACAAACAAAAAAACACAAACACGAACAACTTACCTCTTCCGCATCTTTGATCATAAACTCAAAATCAAAATTAATAACATAAGCTCGGGGACAAATCGTTTTGTACAACAAGAGCTGAAACGTTTATATTGTTAACGATGAATATTATATGTGTCAATCATAATTAAAATAATAAATAATAAATTATTATACAAAATTTAAAAGAAAATCATTTTCCTCAAAAAATTAGAAACACGTGTCGGTTCGAAAGGTATTTAATGCATTTTCATCTAAGATTGTTGGCTTTTATGTGTCTGTTATGAACTTACGGCATATATTATTAACGCTTCAGCTTCACATGGGTTAACCACCTACTTATATATTTGTGTTTTGAAGATGAGACTTTCTAAGCAATGAAATGTGGTTAAAACATTGTATCAAATCAAGGTCAGACGAGTAGAATTATGGAATGATTTCTGTTTCTGTTTTCAGTACTGCAAATTTGGTTTCGGGGCTCTACATCTCTTACAGCTTTGTAAAAATTTTTAACAACATTTTTGTGAACACTTTTAATTTTTTAAATCTACGAAAATAATTTTGGTAGCAATTGCATGCATCGATATATTTTCAAAAGATTTATTATATTATAACCAGTCAATAACTCAAAGCTCTATTACCTTATATTTTGAGATGATTGAATTAACATTGAATGGTGGTGCAATCAGAACCATCCCTTTGATGACATCTGGAAACCTCAACGATGATAGGATGGCCATCGTTCCTCCCTTCGTAATTATTCGGCACTTAATTGAACAACTATTTTTTATCATATCAAATTATTTAACATTATCTCTTATCAAATCAGTTTATTTAATATTATCTCTCACAAAATCAATTTATTTAGTATTTATCAATCATTTATTTGTTAAATACAAACTCAATCAAGCAACAAATTAGATTAAATTTGACCCCAAAAGGGCAAAAAAAGAATATAAAAATTAAGTTTAGTTATACATTTTTGCCCTGTGAATTTAATAATAAATTGAAGCACATGGAGAATACGATATACAAGCAAGCAAACCAACCATGGAATATCCTAATATGAAGCATGGAACATCCTTGAAATCTTTTTTGACTCTTTCAATGTGGTTCATAACATCATCGAGGTAAATAGAAAAATCGTCAACCTGCATTCTGCGACCCTCGCTCCTGCCGTGTCCAACTTGTAAATAAATTTAAGTACAGACAGATTGGAAGAAATTATAAAAATTTCTTTGGCTAACAAATACAAAAAGTTATCTTATCAAAACTTAAGAATTACAGTTTAAACAAATTAACTATGATCGTGGGCAAACACGTAGTTGTTAAGTTGGGCGAGTTTGGTAGCAATTTCGTCGAAACATTGGCAGTGGTGGGCCGCGCCATGGGCTATAAACACCAAATGTCTGAGAAACATTTTTTTTCAAAATTGAGTTTTACTTTGTTTATTTATTTGAAAACTTACAGTAACATCAAAAATATTACTTCGGTGTTTCATTCAAATCGTTCAACGGTTTCCAATACTTTCAGAATAATTTATGACCATGCTCGCTTTGGACAACATCTTCTTTAACTTCAATGTCAATAATCATATTTTTCAACGAGAGTTGACAGGGTGGAGATAGCGGAACCAACTTC